TTATGCTGGAGGAGGTGTAGGTAAAATTATGGCGCTGTGTCGGGGTAGACCACCTGCAGCCCACCAAGAGCGGGGACTAGACTTACTAAAAATAACCTTGATTTTATGCTGGTCAAGCTAAGCGAGGCGGGATGGTGAACGTAAACAAATTCCAATCACCAAATTTCTTCAAAATGTCATTTGCAATTCCTGAGGGAAGCCCCTAGAAACGACGTCGTCTCGTCGATTGCGCGTCTCTTGGACGAGCATGGACGCATATCAGTATCCACCGCTTTGCAAAGACGATTCTCAGATACGCCTTCTCACTCTGCTTCCTGCTGGGAAATTCACCGATGACCTACAGATTATTCTGAGCAATGCACAGCTATCGCGGCCTCAATCAGCAAATACGTTGCACGAGTCCGCAGCATCCCAAGAAAATCCACCAAGCATTGCCGATCATAGCTTTACGGCTTTGTCGTATGTCTGGGGCTCTCCGGGAAATCCAAGCCATGTTGTGGTGCGCGGACGATCCAAAGACAGGATTATACAAGTGACGCGAAACGTCGACACTGCTTTGAGACATTTGCGCACCCACGACAAAGAGCGCGTGCTCTGGGTTGATGCAATATGCATCAATCAAGGCGATTTGGCCGAGAGAAGCAGTCAAGTCTGCTTGATGGCTCGTATCTACAATAGGGCTCTTGATGTCGTCATCTGGCTGGGTCCAGAACAGGATGATGGCGAGTATGCACTTTCTCTGTTGGGTACGTGGGGCTCGAACGTAGAGGTGGACTGGAAGGTCATGACCATGGCCCCATCGCAGGATGCAGGTTCAGAAACGCATTGGGCAGACTCGAATCATCAGAAGACTCTAGACGAGCGCCAGTCCCTGGCCTTGTTCCGCTTGATCCATCGAGAATGGTTTGAACGTCTTTGGGTGAGACAAGAGGCTCTCACTGGCACTCCCACGATTATAAGATGCGGCAATGCAGAATATTCCTCACAAACTTTGAGGAATGCGATATTCATGCTATATACGTCTGGCGTCTTGGTCCATCTTCCGACGGAGGAACGGACCAAATTTGCAGATCGTTGGAGCTTGGTCTACAGCTTGGTCACCTCTTTCGCTTCCAAACGGACCTTGGAAAAGTTACGTTTCGATTTACGCGGGTTGAAATGGGGCGATCCGGTTGATGCCATCTATGCTACGTTGAGTTTGCTTACACCATTTAAACAAGCTATCGGCATCGTACCGGACTACACTCTCGCCAGCCATGGTCTTTCAAGACGTTGCGATCAGACTTCTCACTCGCGCGAAAAGTCTGTCTTTTCTGGCTAGTTGCGAACTGGCTTCCAAGTCGATTCCAGAGCTGCCGACTTGGGTTCCGGACTGGTCCAGCCAAATAGAGACCAACCAAATTTATTCGTTCTGGTCTGCATCAGCCTGGATTTCTCCTCAGGCTTCAATCTCAAGTGAAAACATACTAACCCTCACAGGAATTCAAAAGGCTGTTGTGCGAAATACACATGCTTTAGACGCCACTGACGGAGAAGGAACGCCTCGGATTGCAAAGGCGGTTGAAATCATGTACAATCTCTTGCCCGAGGACCTCACAGAGACATACATTGGGGGCGGCGATATATGTGAAGCTTACACTCGGACGTTTACTGCCGACCTGTTTGCAGACAGGTTCATAGAAAACCGGAGATTGCCGTCACTCGACCAAGCCAAGACTTTTATTCGCCAATTGAAAAGTATCAACGACATTGCAGCAGAGATTGCCAGTTTCCTCGAAACCCATCATGTAAACGAATTGAGATCATATGTTGCCACGGCGATGCACATGTTTTCTGGTAGAAGTTTCTTCACGACAGATCAAGGATACATTGGGCTAGCGCCGTGTGACGCAAAGCCTGGCGATTCTGTGAATGTCATTATTGGCTGTAAAACACCCATGATGCTTCGCGCTGTTGAAGGTAGCGACTCTCCACAATGGCAGATAGTTGGTGCTTGCTATTGTCCAGGTCTCATGTTTGGCGAGGCAATTTATGGCGACTTGTCCAGAAACTTGTCGCCCATTCAGCATGCTGTGGCCATCAACACATATCAACACTCCTTGAAAGACAAATTTAGCGGCACAGTATTGAAGAATTCCAAACACGTCTTGGAACACTGTAAGATACCAGTCGCGGTAGTAGGAGATAATCCAGGACGGCTCGAAGTCACGATCGAGGCGTTACAAGAAAAGGGTATTCAGCTGGAAACATTAATGATTGTCTGATCACTGACGCCAGTCGACAAAGTCACGGACACCTAGGTCTTCCGATAGTAAGGGCAAGGTCGCGTGCGCAAATGTGGCAACAGTTGAGCAGCAACGAGGAATGGTGTGGCTCGCGCGTACATGCTACGAAGAAGCTCATCTTGTTCAGATCATGATTGCTAAGAGGTATTAATGTTTTTCAACTGGTCTGATATTGGTTTTCAATTTGTGATTATCCGTGTCTTGATGTATGCTGCCCATCTTTTAGTTTTGACGAAGTGCAGGCTTATTTGGGCTGTCCAGGCTAACCCCCGGGAGCCCTATCTGGACGCTACGGCGGTGATCAGTGTGCTGTACTACAGCACACCCTGGCCTATGATATCCATCATCCACCATCCCACAGAAACTTTCTCACGGTCTTTGAATTAAACCGTCGGTTTTCCATGGTGAGCGCAACCAGGCCGCATTATGTCATTGATTAGCATTATTGTGCCAAAGGGAGGTCTGTTCCGCGGGACACTTTCATAATAGGTCGGCAGGACAGCAACCACTATAATTGCAAAGTCTAAAGCCAAACCGCCTCTTTGCAGGGCTGAATGTTTATCCAAGCAATGCATGAGGCCAACTAGGTCCACTTGCCCCTGGAAAGAAACTACCGAAATCTCTGTTTCAAATAGGAAAACTGGAAATTCGACCGTTGCCGTCTCCAAATTTCTTCCGCAAATTATAGGAGACCTATTGTCATTGAGGCGCTAGAAGCACCAGGTTCTTACCCAATCAGGCAATGCGGAGGGAGAAACCATTGGACGGATTCAGGCACATGCAGCAGCACTACAACTAATATATCTATGATACCACGTACCTGGAATCTTCGGAAAACTTACCGAGGGCTGAAAAGGCCGTTTGAGTAAGAGGTATAATAAGAAGTTGGTTTACTCTACTCTCATTGACCGTTTCAGAGGGTTGTGTTGAACCAGCTGAATCGCAAAATTAGGACACTCAATATGTCTTCTCAAACCATGTCCCTAGCCGCCTGGCTAGTAGCTGCAGTGAGCACATTGTGGGTGCACATTTTCCATCATATTTCTGGACTTGATTGTGCAGATTGAGTTGACCACAATCAACAGGGGCGCTTCTGCGGCTGCAGTACCCAGGGCTGTGACATGTACAGATGCCTGGACTTCGATTACGGCTGCTGATTACATTGCCGCCATCAACCCGGGCTGGAATCTTGGTAATACACTTGATGCCATACCCAATGAAGGCTCTTGGAACAATCCAGCCGTCGTGCAAGCTACATTCGACGATGTCAAGAATGCCGGGTTCAAGAGTGTCAGAATACCAGGTGAGCTGCACACAATCTTCCGGCAAACATTCAGCTGACGATCCAAGTCACCTATACGGACCACTTCACTGGCAGCTCACCAGACTGGACCATTGATGCCGCTTGGCTTCAAAGAGTTTCAGACGTCGTTGACATGGCTCTATCCAGTGGCTTGTATGTCATCACAAACGTACATCACGGTAAGAGAAATCTGACAGTACCGCGACTCTCATCTCTAACTACCTTCGTTAGATTCGTGGGACTGGGCAGACGTTACAGCTTCGGGCGCCAATCTGACCATGGTCGAGGAAAAGTTTTACCGTACCTGGGTTCAAATCGGCGAGACGCTTGCCTGCAAATCTTCCATGGTAGCGTTGGAGCCAATCAATGAGCCGCCGGCGAATACCGCAGCAGACGGAGCGGAGCTGAACAAATTGAATGAGCTCTTCCTGCAGGCGTTGGCAGAATCTGGCGGGCAAAATGCTCTGCGCGTTGTTACACTGGCCGGTGGTGGCATGGATAGCATCAAGACGTCTGAATGGTTTGAATTGCCAACTGGCAATTACAAGGAGACACAATACCTGGCGATTCAGTACCATTATTACAGTCCATGTAAGTTTATCCGCTCGTGTCCGTGAGACATTGCTGACCAATCTTCAGACGACTTCATCTTCCAGGCTTGGTAAGAATACTTCTGATTCTGCGTGAACTTCTTACTAACCATGCCATAGGGGAAAGACAATCTGGGGCTCGGATGCCGACAAGGCGGCCATGGAAGCAGACATTGCAAACATCCGAGGCAACTTTACCGACATCCCCTTGGTCATTGGAGAAGCAGAGGCCAACATGCTGCTAGAGCCAGCAGCAAGGCGCAAGTACATTGACTTTCTCGCAAGAACAGCCGAAAAGTACGACACTTCATTGATTGTATGGGACAACGGTGACGGCTACCTGGACCGCACCACTCACACATGGAGAGACCCTCAAATTGTCGAAATCATCATGAATGCGGTCAAGGGCGTTTCCAACAGTCTTTCGGACTCTACCACGGACGCTTCAGCAACATCACAATCCAGCTCTGCCTACATCTTCCACAAGGTAGGCGATGAGGTTACGGACCAGACTGTTACATTCTTGTTGAACGGAAATACGATCTCATCGATCAAGGCCACTGATGGAACTACGCTTGACGCATCATCGGATTACTCAGTCTCAAGCGGGGATGTTACTGTCAAGTCATCGTTCCTGTCCAAGTACCTATCCACAACAGCAGAGCCGGGTAGCAAGACGAATCTCACCGTTTCATTCTCTGCAGGAGCCGATGCGACGGTTGAGATTGTGCAGTGGGATGTTCCAGTGCTGGCATCAACCACCTCTCAGGCTGTCTCGGGAGCCGACTTGATTATTCCAATCACCTGGAAAGGCCTATACAAATTGGCTGCCGTCAAAATGTTGCGCACTGATGGCGTCTACCTCTTTGACGACTGGACACAGTATCTGGGGCCTTTGCAGCAGGCTCGTGCAGTGAGTACAATCCATTTTTCCGTTGCTCTTGAATATGAAATGCTGACGTTGAATGCAGACCTATAGCGGTCAGTGGGATCGCGATGGTGCTTCTGTCAAGCTTACCGCAGCCACGGTTGCACAAGTCATTTCGGGTGGAGTCGCTACAACCTTTACATTTGAGTTTTATCCCCGGGTGCCTGGCAACTCGGTCAACTATACTTTGACAGTATAGGCCAAGGTCATTGACTTGGTAGAAGAACATTGAGACATTTCAAAATAGTGGATAAGATGACATGGAACGAGAACTTTGGACGTGCATGAACATCGTCGTGAACGACAATAGTGATTCCTTGTCGCTGCCCTGGTGAATGGCGCAAATCACAATCGAGCCGATGACACTACTTTGGCAAATCTTGAAGTAAAACCTCCATGCCTCCTTTTTCCGACAGAAAAAGCATCCATATGGTGGATCACTTGACAACTTTGATCGAGGCTATCGATTAGCCCGAGCGGGATGAGGTCCCACAGGAAGGATGCAGCTGCTTATTTGTTCGTCATCTTCTCTGCCAATCTCTGCCGGGATAAGCAATGTCGGCCGCCTTCAGCCAGGCACGAGCAGCGGCAGAAAATGGGGGCTTTGTATAAATGCAACAGAGTTGGCTCTTTAACCTATTCTGAATCAGCTTGCGCATCGCAACTCTTCAGCGCCTTGACGGTCGATTGCTTAAGAGTACTCACTAAATAGTAATAATGGAAGCCCTTCTTCTTAGCCTGTCGCTGGCAACTTCTCTCGTGGCAGCCAGTTGGCCCAACCCTGGGCCATGTACCGGCAACTGTATCGGCATTGATCCGGCAGCCATCCGGCGTAGCGACGGGCAATACCTTCGTTTCAACACGTTCGGAAAGATCCAATACTACAAGGCGCCGTCGTTGGCAGGGCCTTGGACTTCCCAAGGTGCAGCCATCCCGGCCGGCTCGGTCATTGATATTCCGGGCAGAGATACACTCTGGGCAGGTGCTGAATGATTTTCTTGTCTTCCTAGTGATTTACTAACAAGAAAAGTATTAGGCCCCTGATGTGAGAAAGGTCGGACACCGATATATTTTGTATTATTCTGTATCCATGCCCAACTCACAGAACAGCGCCATTGGCTACGCGACTTCGTACACCATGGAAAAAGGCACGTGGACCGATCATGGCGCCGTCGGTATCTCGACCATGCCGGGCAGTAATCGCAACGCGATTGACTCGGCACTGTTTCTGGACCCATCCAGTGGCACCTACTACATGTCCTTTGGCTCGTACTGGACGGGCATCTGGGTGGTCCCCATGAACGCGGCGGCGACACAAGTCGCCAAGAACGCCGTCTACACAAACATTGCCCGCCAGCCCAACGGAAATGGAGCCTTTGAGGGCAGCTTTCTCGTCTTTCGCGGAGGGTACTACTATCTCTTCTTTAGCGCGGGCGACAGCGGCGACTTTGACCCCGACAACCTGCCGCCGGCGGGTCAAGAGTACAAGATCAAAGTCTGTCGCAGCAAGTCCGTGACGGGGCCATATGTCGGTCCCGTCGGCGGCAGCTGCCTCAATGGCAACGGTCTAGTACTCTTGGGTAGCCATGGTGATGTATACGCGCCAGGAGGACAAGGCATCTTTGATGACCCCAAGCTGGGCACAGTCATTTACTATCATTATGGTAAGTAGAACTTTGTCGCAAGCGTCTTCCCCCCGCGATTCCGTCTTCACGTCTCTGGCGCGTTTTTCTGATCTCAATGTTAGCGAATCGTACCATTTCGTACAAAAAAGGCCAGTTTCGGTTTGGGTGGCATGTTCTCGAGTGGGTTAATGGATGGCCAACTCTGTAAAATTAGCCATGAATGAGATATTTTACCCAATTTCTTGGTGACCAGTCCTAGTATTGGCACACGACTCTCACCTGAAGTATGACTAGTACGGTACCAATTGCTGAGATATTCTATCACCTCTAAGCAAAGTAAATTTGATCTCGTCTCTGTTAGGTGATCCAGTCCCTGGCCGCTGACTCGAGCAAGATATGACTTGTATGAAGTTGAAGATGCTGCCAGGTATGACAGATCCAGGATGAACCAACTTGTTTCAAATGTCAGGCCCCTACAGATTCCACAATCTTCCCAGACGTGTTTTTCATTCTAGTCAAACCGAAGAAATGCCCACGAATTGCAGTCCGATGGGTGTGCCTGGGTTTGTAGCAAGAAACTATAACAACTGCTGGAGCCTATCGCATTCCAAGGTTGTCTCGCTAAGGCTAGCGGCTCTAGGTCATTATAGCGCTGCCAGCGATTTCGCACGCCGCACACATACTACAAGCTCTATATAGGTAAATAGTGTACTTGATTGTGGAAACGTTTGATGCATAGAGAAACAAATGCACAGCAGGATGCGCAGTAAATGCATTCGAAACCTCTTTGGTGTTACTCTACTTCAGACGCACCGCATTTTGCACAGCGAGGTACGAATACAGGGAATTAGGAACTACCACTACCATGTCGCATTCTAGTGAGTCAGCTACCGCCTAAAATGGTTTGTCTCATCGTGTCAAGATAATAATACTACCCCTACACATTGAATCTCAACAATTGAGATCCATCGGATTTAGCGCAGTAATGATTAGTCTGCAATAATTATTTTCTTCACCAGCTCAGCAAACTCATCTGGCTCAGTCAGAAATGGGCTGTGGCCAGTGTTGATGGATTCCGATCTGAACCCAGGAGATTGTGCAATTAGGCGCTTCTGCAATTCAATGGAAAGTATCGCGTCTTTTTCACAGATGATATAAGTCTTTGGCATCGTGATATCATCTGGGATGAAATTGGACGGCGTCTCAAAGGCATCTTGCGAATGAGGCAGCAGAGACTCAAAGAGCCTTTGGGCCTCGCTGTCTGGCAAGTCACTGAACAACTTTTGTTTGGCGCTATCTTTGAGTCTAAGGAGATGTCCCTTTGACTATGAGTCAATCTTGCAAGCAATCTCCAGGGCGGCGGGGATAATTTTGCAAATGGTATGAGAAAAATCAAACTCACCTTGGTATACGGCTCTCCGGCAATCTGCCAATCGGGCCATGCGCCGCCGAGCGTCTGAAGCATGTCCATTCCACGAGCGGGGACAAAAAAGGCAGCAAGGAAGATGACATGGCGGAAGCCTCCTGGTTTTCCCTCCTTTGCGCGCTGCGCGACCTCGTGCCCTTGAGTCACATCGCACTAATATTCTCTTGTTAGCTTGCGTTCAAAAGTGGCGTTTCAGGCGTTGGCAAGTAAGCTGTCAATTACTTTGGGACTGTGGCCCAGAAAATGTAGCACGTACTGCGAGAAGACCACCAGAGGAGTGGCCGATGATAACGACCTCCTTTCCTTGATCAAATAGCCTCACCGCCAGCTTTTGAATAGCTTCGACGTCGTCTGCAAATGTGACGCCCCTGGACTCTGCTCCGAGGCTGGGGAGTTGAGGACAGTAGTATTCATATCCCATGGCCTCTAGGCGGACTCTTAGAGGATCGTAGCATGCTGGTGGATGCCAGGCACCACCGATGACAAGCACAGCTGGTCTTGAGGATGTCATTTTGTAGTAGTAATGTGGACGTCGTTGTACTCGAAGAATTGAGTGAAAGTAAATGATCCTGGATTTATGTCAGCTGCGGTGATTTAGGCCGATCGATGGTGAACGCGACAGGGCTGCGCTGTATCGGTCCCCAGATTACTCCACCCCAGACTTTTGGTAATCCTTGACTGCTGGGCAATATAATCCGATCAGCCTCCTCCTGGACGCTCTGCATGATAGAGGCGTTTCTTACGCGCTAGCTGTCTTTGTAAGGATGAGATATGCCCAAGCCAACAGGATAAGTTCCGCATTACAGCCACTACACTGGTTGACATATCAAATTGCATTAATAGTACCTGTATTTACACATTATGCTAATTTTTCCATTAAACCGTGTTTAACCACGATCCTGCCTGTACTTTTACTCTTTCATGGCCCCCTCCCATTTCTGGTTGCCGAAAGTGGCAGGAAAACCCCCCACCAGCACTGGTTGTCAACTGCCGCTGCAAGGTATCGTCGCCTAAAAGACAGCTTTGCCTCGAGGAAAAGATCAGTTCGCCTCTGATCAAATCTTGAGCATGGCACGAATCTCGTCGAAAAAGTACCACCACAGTCCCCCAATGATTGCAAAAGTAGCCAGCCACTGAATGAGCATCATTCGCGCCGTGGCAGCCGATGAGTCCGTCGCATCCTCGTACCACGTGATGGGTTTCGAGTCGCAGTCGCCGGCGACACGGGGCTCTTTGGACTTGTCCTCATGCTCGATGATGTAGGCTCCCTTGCTTGCTGCTGTTCGCCGATGCATGGTGGTTTTGTGCGAGGCGATGCGATGATGACGGATGAATGAAATAATGAAATTAAGCTGGATTGCACTGCAAAGTGATGCTTGATATATTTTGGTGTCGAAAGCTCGTGCAAGTTTTGTTGTAATACCACTAAATACGGTCTGAACTTGAAGTGAAGTGTGGTGATTGGCGAAAAAGCACCCGAATGAATGTGACTTGAAAAGTTGTTTCCGTCGAGCCGATTATCTTGAAGTGAGTGAAAGACAAATAAAAAATTAAAGATACTGCCCATTTTTTACGCAGAAGAATAGAAAATGCAAGACGCTTCAACCACTTGTCTATATCTGTCCATCGTTCTGTCGACTCGGCAATTTGCCATGCCACGACAATGGCCTGATTTTGCACTGCGCTCAGCAGTCATCGGATGTTGAGGACCCCACTTTGTCATCTGTCTCCTTAAACCTGGCGCCATTCGACAGTTGCTCACCAAGGCAGATCTTGTCAGAGAGCGCGGTTATGAATGATGGTTCTTTTCAAGGTGCTCATGATACAGCCGGTAAGGACAAACCAAGTTTAGATGGTCGCTTTATGTTTGCGATATTCATTGAGCATCGCCCAGAGTTCAAAGACACAAAAATGTGGCTCGCTGTGGTTGACCCGGAATTAGTGCTGCAAGCGCTAAAAAGGTGCTGTGCAAAGCGCATCCCCTCGCTATCTGCCACATGGCCGAGCAGTGAGCCTAGGTCTTTTCGCCTGGACACCTGATTGAGGCTCTTGGAATCATACAGAGATATTATCTCGCCTGTTACAAATACTGGTTTAAGCATAAGTTGCCTCTGCGCGCCGACGATCCCGCGTACTTTATTCTATGGACTTGTGCCTGGTTGTGCCAAACGGATGCCTTCAATCACTGCGCAGTCTGCATTTCAGCTACCATGGGCTCCTCTTCGAGTGCAGCACCTTTAGAAGGATCATTTTCCGTTACCACAATATGCTTTGCTCAGCATCGGGTAATATGCCGACTCCCACGGATCTTGATGTATTTCCATACTGAGTTGAGCATGGTAAGAGTGCGGTAGAGAGACTGGAGTAGAGTAGACAGGCAATGGACCAACTCAAATCTAACAATCTCTTCTGATTACCGAGTGTGGCTAATGCGACCAATTGCTCATTAAGCGGCAAGCGTAACGGAATCAGAATGGATCATTGTGCGTACATACGATCAGAAAGAATTAGAGGCGTGCTTGCAAGCATTGGAGGCATCCTACATGACAACACCTCGAGGACGGATATACAAATGTGAAAGCAGAGTGCCATCTCAATTGCTGCATATGAGGAGCACTCGGTGATCAAGAACTTCCTGTGTGGCTTTGGCATTCACCGCGAGAACAATATCGTGCAAGGCTTACATAATTCCCTACGCTGCTGGGAAACAGCGCTAACTAGTGGTCGTTGCAGATTCCTTGCACAGGAACCCAGGTATCGTAAAACACCAGATGGCAAACGCATCATGTGACCTGGGGGGCTTCAAATCAGTAGCACCCGGTCTGATTTTACCAGGCAACACAAAGGTACTCGGCTGAGCTCTATACTAGTGTACTGATTCAGACACCGCGCGGGGCATGTTAATGTGCCTGGCAACTCTATACCATGCCGCTAGTCCTAGTTCGGCCTTGTGGCGACGAAAAGGCAGCGGACCCATCTGCGCAGCCCAAGAAAATCAACCAATCAGAAAAATCCGTAGTGAGGCTCAAGAAAAACTGGCCAATGAGAAAATTCCGTCCATGCAGCCTGCACCCAGCCAGCTGCGTTTGCAAACGGGCTTCTAGTGACCTGCAATCAGTAAACCCTCCCAACAATGTCTATAAAGTGAGGGGTCTCCTCCCAGCTACCAGTCCTCCTTTTTCTTCTTCTCCCCTCATCATCATTCATTCTCTGGCCTTGGGACTTGGACCTCATTCAACCAGGACCCTTGGCTACCCTTTTTCCTTTCCCCTTCACAGCTTCCATCACTTTCTCAATCTGGCATCATTTCGGGCTTCGACATGGTAGTGGATAAGCGGAGGACAACAATTACACCTCGAGGGCCTCTGGTACGAGTCGGCGATGGAAACCATTTTGAAAGAGCAACCCAACTGCAGGTGGGGGCAATCAGTACGAGTCACGAGTGGCTGGCTTGAATGTGACTGGTGACAACGAGGTTGTGTCGGTCACACATGAATGGTGGCACATTTTTTTCTCGACTACCACTTCATGCCTTTGTGGTTCAACCAGTCATGAGGAACAAGAGCTCCCTTCTCTTCGGAGAGGAGATTGGAGACGAAACAAATTTTGGAACAAAACTGATACTTACGCACCCGTTTCGGGAACCCCGTACTGGACTGAGCGCGTCTTCCGAGGATGCTCAGCATCTGGAAGATAGTACCCAAGTGGCGAGTCGGAAGGTCCTAAAAGCCCGCGCGCCAGATGTCTTGATGCTCCAGAGCCCGTCGGATTACCACAGCTCGGCCTCTCATGCCCCGCTCATCGTTTTTACCCCCAGTGGTCGTGAGCGGCAGTCCGACCTCAATGCCGCTTTGTTCCCGCGTGAAGGGGTCTTTAGGTACAAAAGAGCTCCTTTCTCAAGTATCGAGGAGACAAATACTTTTTGGAAACTCAAGTTAACTGTTTGTCAATGAGGATTCGTCCGAGACTTACTTTCAAACTTTTCTTTTTGCATATTGCAAGTCTTGGTGGTTGGCGTTGTACACTCGAACCCTCACTGCCGTCGAGATAACATGCCTCCGTCTCTTATCATCTTGTCTCTTTCATTAGTGCTACGGCTTGCCGTGGCTGTGAAGAAGGACGTGCGCCCGTTGTTTAGCCGTTGTCAGGTCTTTTTCTTCCTTCATCTGTGTTATACGAGTCACCCAGAACCAATTGCAGGCTGTCACTTTCATCTGCTCTGAAGCCGTAAATAAAGACTGTACCGAGATAGATGCACATCATGGCCACAGTAAAGTCTAGGGAGGCAGCACTGCTGGTCTGACGCCGTACGCATGACGCTCTGCTCTGATGTTGATGCTCAAGGCCTGCTTGAATATGCACGTCAAGTTCTGCCCACCTACCGGCTCAAGGAGCCGGCGCACTAATGTTGCCGAGACTAAGAAATTCATGACATGGGCATATTTGGCAAAATAGATTGGGTCGAGAAACAGCGACTCGTGCCGGCTCATTTGCGGGTCAGTCATGCCTTTGCTTGCAAGACATTTGGGGTTCATGGTAGAGAACCTAACAGATAATGCTGTGAGCACTTGATTATTTTTTGGACAAAACTGTCAATCTATATTGTGTGATGGTCTACCCGCACATGTTCCCGTGTCTTGGTATGTCCTACATTGCTTCTCGTCATCTGCTAATGCTAGTAAAAGCTTTTCAGCTCTTCGTCGGCCCTGCTTCTGCTTTCCGCGAGAGCCTCCTCCAAGTTTGCCTTGCCCAGAAAGGTATCTTTTAGTAGATTGCAGACAATTGTCTTCATCTTTCCGTCCACAACGACATAGTGAGCCCAGACTTGAATCTTGACGATATCTCCAGGCTCTACAGCGTGTCCAAAGACACCGTGGGGGAGCTTCTTCTTGTACGTAAAGTAGCACTCCATGATGTAAAAGATATTGTGGCCATCAATGGCCACCACCAGCGGGACGAGGACCTCGTCTGCGACTTCAAAGAGTGGAATGTAGTGCGACTTGATGCCCTCGGACCCTACCAGCAGCGGGGTTTGAGGGTCTGGGAGGTCCAAGGTGACATCTTCGTGATAATAGCCGTGTTGCACCTCAAAGTCATGGGCATTGAAGGCACGGACGTATTTGAGAAACTCGTCTCGCGAGATTGTGGAACCCGACATGATGTGAGTGTGTATGGGGGGGTCTTTTTTTATGTTGGCTGTAATGTATGGGAATTGAACCAAAGCTGAGGATTGTGCAATGTAGAGCTCGTAAAGTATATAACTAATGAAACGGCGCGCGGAGTTTGACTCTAGCTTATCTCGTTTGCCGCGTCATGTCAGTCTGGTCTTGATTAATACTCGTCTGTTATAGTCTAGAATATTGGCTTTTGACGGTGCCGACGAAGCGAGATCAGCAGTGTACTGCCTGCCTACCTACGAACCTAGGTACAGAGGTGCTAATAGTCGTTTGTTATTGCGCCAAAGACTCCACAACCACCTGCCCAGCTAGTGGGGCAGCACCGGCCGAAGCGAGCAACAGCCGATGGTATTGATACCTTCTTAACGCGGTCAAATCGTCATTTATACATGACTGAGCTGTTAACAAGATTGAAACCTCTGACTCGCATTCAGTGACTCGGACTTTGGTGGCTGTTATTCCCAGTTTCAAAGGGCGCATGAAACTTTTTGGATCAGGCCCGATTTTAGAAGTCTCCGAGGTGACAGCTAAAACGGGATCGGAGCATGGTATACTTGCTTGGCGGTCGCCGTCTTATTCAGCCACTATTTCATTGCTTACACAGCATGGTGCATGGAAGGTCGCTATCAATGAGGTGCGTAATACTACTACATGCAACACGAAATTCCAAATTCGAAATGCTCGGGTAATCATCTTATCAAAAAAGCAACTGTTCAAAGCCAGCAAAATTGTGATAAATCTTGCAGCCATCCGACAGCAAGTGTGGATAGGTTGGTTGAAGCTGCCATGCTGAATGGATCATGGTCAGTTGCGTGACGTCGCATTAAGGTATTCGTTTTCTTTCTACATATTGCTCACGTCCGAGAAGATATTGCATAAGGCATCCACAGCGACCCTGTTGTGCACTCGCGGAATTGCTACGATTGGCTCGGGCATGGTAGGTTGCAATGCAGAGCGACCGTGCTCGAGCTGCGAGAATACCAGGTTTGCCTGCATCTCTCTTCTCGGAGCTGTCCCTGGGATTCACAAGACCAATGAATGGGCCTCCGCAGCCATTACGTACACGTCCGCATTTGGTTTCATGTCATTGCCCCAAGCTGCAGTACAAAAGACCGATCGTCCTGATAAGGACTATTCCTTTAGGAAGGATCATGCACCATCATCATATCTCATCACTGTATACATACTTTGTACAAGCTCAACTTATCACGGCCGACTGGGACCCAGAGCTCGGTAGCTGTGATCAAAATGTCCCCGCATACGCGCGCGGTATTCCCCCCACGCGTGCAGCAAATATTCTCGGTACCTTGGCATTTTCCAGCCATTCACGAGGAAGGGAAGGTAGCTCTCGTGAATGTATACAATGCTACATCCATTTATACGTCCCTTTTACACTACTATTAAATGTCACCTGGCCGCGTACGCACACGAGGCACCATCTGCCAGATCAAGATAAGATTATTACGACGTTTCCTCGGTGAGCGATACCGTGATTCACCTTGATGGGAAGATTTGGCAGGAACTTTTGCGAAATATTCTGATCGAGGCCGGCTTCGGCCGATGCAGAGCACTGCTCAACAAGGAGAGGATTAATAATGCGCATTGCGATAAGTCGTCGATACGCCTTAAATATTTATCCGCCAAATACAAGATGAGCCCTTTGCAATGCATGATTGACGCGCCTGGCAGTATAGTAGCATCCTTCGTGTCGAACTCGCCGACCAGTATCACTTTCGCGCACACATGCACTACTTGATGCCGAGGATGCAGGATTAAGTTGACCAAGCTGGCTACGATTGAAACCACTTGTCAAGTCCCGTGAAGTCCATGTCCCAGCTTGGCCATGTCGGAAGAGAATATGGAAGCCAAAATCATATATTCGGGGACTCGGATGCATTCCCTGCATCCTGCATGCCTTGTCCTGCATGCGTCTGCATCATCACTCTGTCACTATGCTTTTGGGTATGACAATACTCACTATTGACTGCAGCCACTTTAAGCTTTGCTAGACACATGAATCCCTCTTCATTGCGGAAATTTTGACGAGAACGAAAATCAGAGTCCTTTTCGCACGGCCGTTTTTTCATGACTAAGGTATACATTACGAAGCGCGCCGGAACAGGCAAGTCAAATACCGTACAACTGAACCCCCTTGCATCCCATATGCCCCTTTTAGTTTGATAGCTGCGCGTCAATAGATTAGATGTGCTTTGATGAGCCGACAATTTGACACAAGGTGACAATAGATCTAGCTGTCACTGATTGCCACGGCCTATATGCCCTCACTTATACCGTGTTGCTCATGCAACTTACTGATAAGGTACCTGATGCGATTGGCAATCTGATCATCAAATCGTTTCATCACAGGAAAATTGACAGGTGTGAGCTCCATGAGACTGTAGCTACAATCACCTTCCCACTCTCCATTGCGTCAGCATTGACGCGGCCGCCTATCAAAAACGGCTTGCAGTCTGGAGAGCCGTCCACATAAGTACAACTTTAGCTTGTTTTCCCAGAGGCACTCTCTCGAACCTTGCTGCACGAACCAAGGGCAGTTCACCTCCTTGACCAGATCCGTAGTGTTGAGAGCGACATGTCTCAACCAACTTCGGTTCCCAAGCTGCTCCTCCACCATGCGGTGGAAAGCCGGGACAAGGTGGCCTTCTTGGGCCCAGGCTGGTCCATTGTATGTCTTTCCGAAGCGTGTCCCTTTTGCTGAGATGTTTCTCGTAGTCGTTTGACATGACTGACTCCATATTCTCCTTGTAGACCTACAGTGACCTTGAAAAGCGAACGCGGCTTGTGGCAGCTCATCTGGCGCGGGCCGGTATAGGACGAGGAGATTTCGTAGCCATTGTGCTAGGGAGATGCTTGGAGGCGGTGGAGTCTGTGTTGGCAATCATGAGAGCCGGCGCCGTGAGCGTTCCCCTAGATCCGCGTTCACCACCAGCAGACCTGGCCAGGGTTTTGGAGCACAGCGGAGCCCGCGCAATCATAACTGATGATCGGCACTTGGCTACGGTGTCCGCCGCAGCCGTCAAAGGATCCTTGATTATCATAAGCACTACGAATGCTCAGGTGGATGTCATAGAAAGCCTCAAGACGGAGCGGTACCAAGACTGGGTTGAAGATGATGGATACTCGACGTCGGATGTCCACCTGGACAGCCTAGGCGATGAGGAGGAGGCCTTTCTGCACTACACTTCTGGAACAACCAGCCTACCCAAGGGAGTCTTGTCGAGTCAAAAGAGCGCACTGTGGAACGTTGAAAAGGTCACTTCAGTGTTTGAGTTTTCCTCTGAGGACCGCTTCTTCTGGCCACTCCCCTTGTTTCACATTCTCGGCCACTCCTTATGTATACTGGCCACCGTGGCCAAGGGTGCCAGCGCCTATCTTTCGGACCCTGACCAGTTGCTGTTGGATAACCTCTTGGTCAAGGATGTTGAAGACACGACCTTCATTGCAGGTGCCCCGGCCACGTTTCACGAGCTTGTCGAAGCCAAGGCGGCATCGTCGTCGACTCTGAGTTTGCCCAAATTGAGGGCATGTATGAGCGCAGGTGCTGCGGCATCTGTTTCTCTGTGTGATCAGGTCCATGAGCTGTTCGGAGTGTCGCTTCTCAACAACTACGGATGCACAGAGACTTGCGGCGCCATTGCCATTAGCCGGCCTGGCCATGTCTATCGGCAACATGGGAGTGTTACCCCACTCCCCGACTGGGAGATTCAGCTGATGGATCAAGATGGGAAGCAAGTCCGCGAAGGCGAGCAAGGCGAGCTCTGGGTGCGCGGTCCCGGCCTGATGCTGGGTTACTACAAAGAAACTCAGTCGCCATTCACTGAAGATGCTTGGTTTCCCACTGGTGATACAGGAATTCTCACCACTTCGGATGTCGGAAAAGAGCTCAGCCTCGTGGGTCGGAAAAAGGAGTTGATCATCCGGGGAGGAGAAAACATACAGCCAGCTGAGTTGGAACAAGTCTTGCTCCAGCACCCTGGCGTGGCAGACGTTGCTGTTTCTGGCATTCTACACGGATTGCTTGGCGAGACGCCTGCCGCGTTCATTGTCAAGGAGACTCCAGACCTTGACCTTGACCTTTCCTCCCTGATCGCCACGTGCAGAGAAGCTTTGCCAGACTACAAGGTGCCTACAGGTAAGTGACGGGCGCCGTTTCTTTCACTGATCTAGATTTATTGCTGACTCAATCCTCGACAGCATTTTACGAAATCGACGCTGTGCCTCGGACCCTTTTAGGCAAGCCCAAGCGGTTGGCCGTAGCGTCTTACACGAGCAAACCACTCACGGTTCGCTCCAGGTTACAAACAAGAGCCGCCGTCGAGGCATTGGTTCTTGCAGAAACGGCCGGGGCCTGCGGTGTGCAAGCCGAGCCCGGGGAGAAGGAATCGGACCCGGATTGGCTTCGCAAATACGCCGACGAGTCCTTTTCCCATCTCGGCCTGACCTCCATGGCCGGTGTCGTCCTGCGAGACCGACTGGCCAACCTCACCGGCTTGGTTGATCTGCCCAACACCCTCGTCTTTGACTACTCTACTCCAGCGGCTGTGCGCGACTACCTATTCAACAGGCTCAGGGAGCAGGAATCGCCGCTCCCATCCAAGTCAGCACCTGCACTGAGCTTGCCCAGCAAGGCTGAGCCCATTGCCATTATCTCAATGGCCTGTAGATATCCTGGAGGAATCTCTTCGCCAGAGGACTTGTGGCAACTCGTTTCCGACGAGATAGACGCAACTACTGACTTTCCGAGTGATCGTGGCTGGGATATCGATAGTCTGTATAGTACCGACCCGACGGAACCTTTCACCTCGACCACGAAGCGCGGCGGTTTCCTGCCCGACTTTGCCGACTTTGATGCCGGTCTATTTGGCATGGCACCTCGAGAAGCCCTGGCTACGGATCCCCAGCAACGTTTACTACTGGAAACGACGTGGGAACTAGCCGAACGAGGAGGCATTGCCCCGTTGTCGCTCAAAGGCACCCAGACTGGTTGCTTCATTGGCACGCTGTATGATGATTACGAAGCAAACGGCTTTGGCAACGCTGGTAACGTACCCTCCTTCGTACAAAGGTATGAAGAATGAATATCTACTGACGAAAAACTTCTCCTTTTGACAGAATTGGAAGCTCATCTTGGTCTTGGATCCTCCGGCAGTGTCATGTCCGGTCGCATTTCCTACTACTTTGTGAGTGCTTTCCAATCGCATATTTCATTGCAGGAAAATCTCCTAGACGCTTTGCGGCACGATTGAATTCAATAGACTGATTAATCCCTTTTGGCAGGGTCTCCACGGTCCGTCAATAGTCATATCAACCGGTTGTTCGTCCTCGCTCTGCGCCGTCCATTCAGCAGCCCAAGCTCTCAGGAACGAAGAGTGCACACTCGCCATTGCAGGTGGAATCACGTGCATGGCTTCGCCCAGGCCATTCACCATGTTTAGCAAGCGACGAGGTCTCTCGGCCGATGGGCGATGCCGAACGTACTCGAGCGACGCCGCCGGCACCGGTTGGTCCGAGGGCGTAGGTCTCATCATGCTCGAAAAGCTCTCAGACGCCCAGCGCAACGGACATCGCGTACTGGGCGTGATTCGGGGCTCCGCCGTCAACTCGGACGGCACGTCCAACGGTCTGACGGCCCCGAGCGGACCTGCGCAGCAAATGTGTATCCAGAGCGCGCTGTCCCAAGCGGCGCTGTCGCCTACCGACATTGATGTTCTCGAAGGTCACGGGACTGCCACGCCCTTGGGTGATCCCATCGAGGTACAGGCCGTGATCAACACCTACGGCAATGGGTCTGGCAATGATCCCCGCGCGAATCCATTGCTGATTGGTTCAATCAAGTCCAATATTGGCCACACCCAGGCCGCAGCCGCCGTGGCTGGAATCATCAAGATGGTCAAGTCCATTCATCATGGTGTTGCCCCAGCATCCTTGCACATCCGCGAACCTTCACGACACATTGATTGGGATGGGTGTGGTGTTGAGCCACTTAGCAAGGCCAAGCAGTGGCCATCTGTGGACAGGGCGAGACGTGCAGCCGTGTCATCATTGTAAGTTCTCAAGATAATGATTCGATTACTGGTGAAATAGAGCTGACGGTTTTGAATTAGTGGTATTGGAGGCACAAACGCAGTATGTGCCTTCTCACAACCTCCCTTAATTCAAACCTTTAAAGATTGAAAAAGTTACTGACTCGTGGGAATAACAGCACATCATTTTGGAACAGCCTGATTCTATTGAACAGAATGGCGTCTCGACGCCAAAGAATCACACAATTGCTTTTCCATGGATCATTTCTGGCGCCGACGAAAATGCTCTGCGCGCGCAAGCCCAGTCACTTCTGGCGGCCTGGCGCAAGTCCCTCAGTCATGAGAGCCCGTCCGACATTGCATTCTCCCTTGCAACCGCGAGATCTTCTCTCAAATATAGGGCCGTGGTGACGTACACCGCCGGAGGCGACTTGAACGATCAGATTGAAACGGCACTTACGGCTCTCGCTGAAGATGAATCCCATCCCGACGTCGTGACAGGACACACCAACACCACTGGCAACAAGCCGCGTCTGGCTTGTCTATTCTCGGGACAGGGTAGTCGGATGCCCGATCCCAGCGCCATCGAGGAGCTTTCTACCGTTTTCCCCATCTTCTCCCGCGCATTCAAGGAGGCCTGCGAGGAAGTCAATCAGTACCTCGAATGTCCGCTTGAACGTGCTTTGAGTGACAGTAGCCTCCTGGACCGAACTGACTTTGCGCAGCCCGCCTTGTTTGTCTTTGAGGTGGCAATGTACCGCCTGCTCGAGTCCTTCGATGTGATTCCCGACGTGGTGTCTGGACATTCTCTAGGAGAAATCGCAGCAGCTCACATTTCTGGAGCTCTGACTCTCCGCGACGCTGCCATCATCGTTACCACCCGTTCCAGATTAATGGCTGCTCTAGATGCCAATGGCGGCATGGTGAGCATTGCGGCTCCTGAGCAAGAAGTCGCCGAAGAGCTGTCACGCCTGGGCAGCACGGCAATCATTGCAGTTGTCAACTCTGAAAAATCGGTTGTGGTATCCGGTACTCGAGAGGCCATAACCGCTGTTGCAGACAGATTTACAGAGCTAGGACGAAGAACGACTATTCTGCGCAATGTCAACCACGGCTTCCACTCGCCAATGATGAACGGTATTCTGGGAGACCTTGAAGAAGCTCTGGCGTCGTCCATTGGAAGTGGAACATCCTCCAAGATTCCGCTCGTGTCCACCGTCACGGGCAAGCTCGCCGAAGCGGCCCAGCTGACCTCTCCCCAATACTGGACACGCCACGTCAGCGAGCCAGTTCGCTTCGCAGACTCCGTCAACGAGCTTCGCTCAAACGAACGTGTCTCGGTGTTTATTGAAGTCGGTCCCTCTGCAGTCCTCTCTCCCCATGTCCCGGGTACTGTCGCCACATATGGCACAGTCGGCAAGCTACTGAACACGCTGGGTCAAATCTGGGCGCGCGGCGTGCCCGTCAACTGGCAGGCCGTATTCGGTGGCGTAGGTGCGCATCTCGTCGACTTGCCCGTCTATGCCTTCCAGAGGCGCAAGTATTGGCTACCATATAGAACCCTGTTGCCAGCAGAATCTGTGGGGGCGTCTGGCGCCTCCTCACCGGGTCGCACTTCAGACATTGGTACTTCTACATTGAACCATGGAGTGCTCTACCGGACTACATCCATTGCGGGGACAAACGACATCATCTGTGCCGGTTTCGTCTCCGCAAGCAAGCAGCCCTGGCTGCGCGACCATATTATTAGTGGTCAGAGCCTTGTTCCTGCCACAGCCTTTGCCGAGCTGGCTTTGCGGGCTGGTCGCGAATGTGCCGATCCCTCTGGATCTGAGCAGGTGATTCTCGATGAGCTCATCATTCTCGCACCCCTAGCCTTGTCTCTAGAGGAAGATGACGAGGAACAAGAATTTGAGGTACAAGTCGTGATCAAGGAGTTGGAAGACGAAGAGAGCACTATCCGACGAAGCATTGACGTTTATTCACGTCTTCATGCTGTCTCAACCCAACCCGACTGGGTACAGCATGCCACGGGTACCCTGAAGTTGATTTCGTTGCCACCACCCGAAAAGGATGTATTTACCAATGGCACACACGACGTAGAGAACTCCGAGGTGGATGTTTCCAAAGCATATGCCATGCTAGAAGACTTTGGCATCAGCTATGGACCAGCCTTCCAAGGCGTCCGCGGTGGTTGGCGTCAGCACGACAACGAGCTCTTGGTACAGATCAACCCGCCTCAGGACCAGGACTCCAAGGCGGGCTTCGTCCTCCACCCAGCCCTTCTCGATGCTGCTTTGCACGCTCCCATCCTCGCAGCACCTGAAAAGGTTTCTAGTGGCCAGATTCGACTGCCATTCTCCTTCAAGGGCATACAAGTCTTTGAGGCTGCCACCAGCACCTCTGGGCCAGTTTTGGCCCGCATTCGCGATTTGGATGATGAGCGCTTTTCCGTGACCATCACGAACAAGGCAACAGGCGCAGCAGTGGCAGAGATTTCTGAAGTCATGCTGCGCGCAGTCCAGCCTCCCGTTGTCGAAGGAGATTTATACCGACTCAAGTGGACCGAGTTGAAGGCAGCTCAGACAACAAAGCCAAACCTTGTCGATGACATCTTCACCGTTCAAGCTCCCCGCAACGTAGATGCCGCCGATATTCCCAAGGCTGTTCATAATGCCGTCTCGGAAGCACTCCGTGCTATACAACAGTGGAGGACCAAAAAGGCGAATTCTTCCGACAAAATTCGTCTCATCTTTGTCACTGAACAGGCGTCGCTGCACCCTGACGTCAATGTTATCGATGCCGCCGTCTGGGGCTTTGTGCGGTCTGCGCAGACAGAGTTTGGTGGGGAGAATATCATTCTGATAGATCTCGACGGGTCGGCAGAGTCACAGGAGGCTCTTCCATCCGCCTTTGATTGTGGACAAGAAGTTGTTGCTCTGCAAGATGGCAAGATCATGGTTCCCACGCTCAGCAAAGAACCCCCGGTTCCAAGCACCTCGACAACTCTCGATGTCAGTGGTACAGTTCTAATCACCGGAGGTACAGGAGGTCTGGGTGCCATACTCAGTAGACACCTTGTGCAAACCTGCGGGGCAAGAAATCTGCTTTTGACAAGTAGGTCGGGCATCAAGGCTGCCGGAGCGACTGAGTTGCTTGACGAGCTAAGCGCTCAAGACGCAACGGTTGTGCGTATCGAGTCGTGCGATATTAGTGATCGCGCTCAGTTGGCCACGCTACTTGAAGGCAATCACGGACATCCACCCATAACTGCCATCATCCACTGCGCCGGCGTGGTGGATGATGGAGTCTTGACCTCGCTAACTCCAGAACGGATTTCCCGTGTCTTGCAAGCAAAGGTTGATGCTGCTTGGAATCTGCACCAGCTGGCGCCAGAGACAACACGTACTTTTGTCCTCTACTCATCCTTTGTCGGCATTGTTGGAAACGAAGGCCAAGCCGCATACACGGCGGGCAATGCCTTCCTCAATGCTTTGGCCCGCATGCGCGTTGCTCAGGGACTCCCCGCAGTGTCGCTGGCTTGGGGCCCTTGGGCCAATGATGTCGGCATGGCTGCCGGGGATAAATTGGTGATTCCCAATCTTCGCATCGCCAGCGCTCAACCGGTCGTGGATCAGCAAGGACTGCATCTGTTTGACCGCGCACTACAGACTTCAGAGCCTGTTCTTGTGCCACTATTGCTACGCGGACCCTTCCCCATGGTGCCATCCGCCGCTGCGGTGACCAAGTCCAAGAAGGCTACCGCCAAGGGCAAGGCAAAGACGGGCGCTGCATGGCGCAAGAAGCTTGCAGCAGTCTCTCCAGAGAGTCGCTCCGATACTCTTCTGGGTCTGGTGCGAGACGAAATTGCCGCGGTGCTTGGATATCAGGGCCAGGAGCTGCCAGACGGGCCACTGTCCGACCTTGGTTTCGACTCGTTTACCTCGGTCACGGTCAGCAACAGGATGAGAGTGCTGACGGGTTTCCGTGACCTTCCAGTGACCCTGGCACTCGACTACGATACACCTCAGGCACTGGTGCAGTACCTGCTGGATCGAATCAATGCTGAACCAGAAACCGAAATCGAGTTGGACCAAGACGTTGCCGAGGAAGAGACAGTTTCTGGAACAAACGGTCACCAGAATGGCCATCAAAATGGCACCCAGAATGGCCATTCCAACGGACATGCCAACGGCGCGTCCACCAATGGCGATGCTACTGATGGCATTGACCCCGAAGAGTTCCGAGGGCTTTCCACACTTCACCGGCGCCTCTGCCGACTCGAGCAGTACACTGCCGCGGCAGACCTGCTGGCCTCTGCCGCACTGGCAATGCCAACATTCCCCAGCAATGGCCGCAAACTGTTGGATTATGTGGCGGATCCTCATCGCCTGGCGACTGGTCCCGAAGTCTCGCCTGGCAACGACGCGCCCCTGCCCGTAGTCTTTATTGCCCCCTTCTTCCCACGCATCAAGATTGGAGGAATCTCGCTCAGTGTGTACAGTGCTGTAGCAGCTTCTCTGAATGGAAAGAGGGACGTGTTTGAGCTCCCACACCCCGAGGGACAATATGTTCCCGAGGACCTTGACACACTGGCCGAGCTACATGTCAGTACCATCGAGCAACAGTTTGGCGATAGGCCAGGCATCATTTTGGCAGGTTACTCTGCCGGCGGCACGGTCGCGTACGCCGTGGCCTCCAAGCTGGCCCAGGCCGGCAAACACCCCCGTCTGGCGGGCTTTGTCTTGGTAGACACATACCTGACCATGACGGGACGGGGCGATCCAGACTGGCTCAACGCCTTGCCGGCCGAGGCGCTCGTGTCGCGTCTCGGAGGACCGGACAGCACAGGGGAGAGTCTGGTGGGAGATTTGGATCTGGCATTGGCCAAGGTGGGCGGGTACTTTAGAACTCTGCGAGACTGGGACCAAGAGCTTTATCCCCTACCCGATGCACTGTCGACTCTCTTTGTGCGAGCTCTAGATCCGTCGGAGAAGATGCCCAAGAACGCGGATATATGGCGTCCAAGATGGCAACGGGCGAATCACACGGTTGAGGTGCCTGGAAGTCATTTGGCCCTTCTTGACAAGCGCTATGCTCCGGCAATTGCTGTTGAAATTGAACATTGGGCAAAGGAGCAGTTGGGGGTTTGAAGGCCTCTTCATAGATGATGATAGACGTAGATGGAGTGGGATTAGAATCGTTCTTCTTTTCTTTTTCTTCAATTTCTTTATGATTAGAATAGCTTTGATCGCACAATAGGAACCGATACATGTCTATATCCAACATCATGATCGTCGATAGTCTAGCGAGCTGTATCATGCAAACATCCAGGCACTGTGCCCTATAAAGGATGAGGGATATACTATGATTTGGTATGAGGCACAGCCTACGTCTACCGATATACAGGACATGTGCGGCATTCACAACTCAGCATGGGAGACCGTAGAAAGAAAAAGGAAGAGATGGGGATGCGACTTGCAGTAGTCACCTGTCCTCATGTCCATTGAGTCTAACAACAATTGCGGGTGATCCACGGCTCTTACTCGCCAACGCTAAGCATTCAGTTGATGCGCGCCATTAGGAAGTCTCCCGAAGTCTCCACACAAGCCACCGAATGCCCGCCGGCTCTTCCGACTATAGTCAAGCCGACCCGGAGTTCAGCCTGTAGTATGCCGAGATGGAACCGGCGGATACCTCACGAGGACATCATAAGTCTTTGTCTTTTATATGTCTTGCCCTCCCTTCTTTTGATTTGTTAGCATGCATTTCTTTTCTTCCATATTGATCGATTCCCAGGCTTGTCGGAATTAGCACGAATTTGCAGATTCTCTCAACAAAAGAGTGCAACAGCCGGCGAAATAGCAAAATGGTGTACCAAAAGCTTGCCGCAGCCAATCCATCCCTTCCACACCTGAAAAAGAGCGAAAATGGCATCCAGCTCATTGTCAAGGGCAAGCCCTTTCTCATGCTCTCGGGAGAGCTTCACAACTCCTCCCTGAGCTCGGCCAAGTTCATGTCCGAGGTGTGGCCGGCCATGAAGGCGCAATCCATCAATACGCTCGTGGGCTCCGTCTCGTGGGAAATGATCGAGCCAGAGGAGGGCAAATTCGACTTTTCGGAACTGGACAAGGTCCTCGAGGGCGCCCGCCAGCATTCCATGCATCTGGTGCTCCTGTGGTTTGGTACCTACAAGAATGGCATCTCCACCTACGTGCCCGGCTGGGTAAAGAAAGATGCGAAGCGCTTCCCCAGAGTGCACGTCTTGGAAGCGGGCGGCGTCAAGCGTACGGTGGAGATGGTATCCCCATTGTCCGAGGAAGGCTGCACGGCAGACTCGAAAGCCCTGGCCGCGCTCATGGGCCACCTCAAGAAAGTTGATTCAGAGGACAACACGGTGCTCATGGTGCAAGTCGAAAACGAGACTGGCCTCCTGGGCGACTCGAGGGATCGCTCTCGAATGGCTGAAGAAGCGTTCAAGCAGCCAGTCCCGAAAGACCTCTTGAAATACTTGACCACGACGGAATTACATCCTCGATTCAAGGAGCGATTTGCAGACAAGCTCGCCGCAGTCAAGGACATTGAAAACGGATCCTACTCATGGCAAGACATTTTCGGTGCCGGCATCCCAGCCAATGAAGCCTTCATGGCCCACCACATTTCGACATACGTCGGCAAGGTCGCGGCCGCCGCCAAGGCCGTCTACGACATCCCCCTGTACGCCAACACGTGGCTCAACTTTGACGACCCCTCGGCCCTCGACCTGACGGACGTCCCCGTCGTCGTGGGCGGCGGCGCCGAGGCCGGCATCTACCCGTCGGGCGGCCCTTGTCCGCACGTGCAGGACATTTGGCGCCACAACGCGCCCGCGCTCGATTTCCTGGCCCCCGACTTGTATTTTCACGGCTACGAGGGCGTGTGCCGGGACTACACGGCCCACGACGATAACCCGCTCTTCATTCCCGAGCAGCGCCGTGACGAGAGCGGTGCCCGTCGGGTCTGGCTCGCCTACGCCACGTATGGCGCCTTGGGCACCTGTCCCTTTGGCATCGATACGGGCGCCGAGATCGTGGGCCGCGAGTACAAGCTGCTAGACCAGACCAAGGATTACCTACTCAACAGCCGCCCCGAGCAGCGCATGGGTTTCTTCTTTGACGAGCTCCCGGCTTCGGGCCCACCCAAGGGCCAAGAGAAATGGACCAAAGTCTTTGGCGATGTCGAGGTCATTATTGAGAGGGCCTTTGTATTTGGCAAGGCGGGCCCCGGTGCCGGCATGGTGATTCAGCTCGGAGATGCCAAGTCTGCACGCTTTCTAGTCGTTGGTCGAGGCTTCAATATTCATTTCAAGAGTCGGGTCAAGGGCGCAACTTTTACGGGTATACTAGACGCACGCGAGAAAGAGTACGATGCCGAGACAAATTCTTTCAATACCCTGCGTGTCTTTAATGGTGATGAGACAAGGAGCGGTGAGTTTCTCATCATGCCCAACGATGACCCCGATTATGGTGGGTTCCCAATCGCAGTGACTATTCCAGCTCGGACGTGTATTGCAGAGGTAGAAGCTTACTGGTTGTGCGAGGACGAGGCGGACCTCTAGGGCAAGGCAGATATAGCAATGGTGATCTGGTCGTGATGAACAATGTAAACAATCAATTATATACTGCCCAGATATGTCCCACAAAAGTGAATAGAACTCCCTGATATCCAAAATGTAATCGCGCTTGTATCTAGAGTCCATAGACGCAAAATATCATACTCCATGGCTAAAAGAAAAGGCCAGTATTATGCTATGGACATGCGCCATATCCACTTTTTTCGTTAACCGTCTTGATGCTGTCGCCGAGAATGCATTATATTATGTAATTTTTCCCATGAAAAAAACCGTTGACTCGGGTCCCAGTCAGGAAAGGGGGTAAACTTGCAAGAGCCTCCATGCTTCTTACAATTGACCAGATAGCAGAGCTTCGGTAGCTATTGCATAGTTAGTTTTCAAGATCTCATGAAACACACAGTTTAAACGTACCATTGTTGATGTATGCCCTTCTCGATTCGAGAGGAACATTGAAGCGTCTCTCGAGCTCTTGCTTAATGCCCTTCTTGGTGACGGTCATCAAGTCAGCTGTGCGCAGAATCTCACGAATCTCGGCCAACAAAGCATCGTCACTTGGCACGCCGGCCAGGTTGGACATTTCCATCTCTTGTGGGTTGTTGAAGAATTGCGAACCACCATATTGACTCATACGGTTGCCCATCATCTCAGACGGCGCAAGCGACATGCGAGACATGTGCCCAGCACCCGCCATGTTGTAGGGAGGAATGAGACCGTGCGTCGAGCCATTGCGACTACCAGCGTAGAACTCCGTGACAGCAGCACCTTGCTTGGTGGCGTAGCTGTAGCCCGAGACCTCGGAGCGGGTGTCGTCGTGGGCAGTCTGGGCGTCCCAGAGCTCGGCCTGGTATTCCTCCCACTTCTTGCGAGGGATGGAGGCTGGGTCGAATTTGCCTTCGTCTGTGACAACAACCTTCTTGCCTCTTTCGCCAGCAACGACACGTGTGTTACCCCAGTTAAAGTCGTCCATGTGCCAAAAGGCGTACAGCGGCAGACCAAAGGAAAAGACGGGAATGGCAAGGATGTACAGAATCATCCATCCAATCATTTCCCACTTTCGGCGGAAGATGAAGATTAGGGCTTGGAGACCATAAATGGCACCCAGCATGATAAAAGCAGTCAGCGGAATCACAGTTGACTTGGTAGCCACCTCAACGATGAGATATACAATGTAGGCAACCGTAACAGGCTGGACAACAGTGGACATGAGATCGACGAAAACGATGAAACGCATACTAAAGCAGCAGAAACCACAGAGCTGAGCCATGGGCATAAGCTCCATCAGATTGTGCACCGTAGAGTTGATCCATCGTCGACGTTGAGAAAGGAAGACTTGCCAAGTGTCGGGCGCAATAGTCCAGGCGTGGGCTCGGCTGATGTACTTTGTCTTGAACTTGCTGTGGAACTTGAGGAGAAGCGTGGTCAGGTATCGATCCTCACCCAGGTGGAGCAAGTTCTTCATGTGCAGAGTATCGACACGGATTGTGGCGTAGTTTTCGACAACGTCCTTGCTCACAAAGAGAGGCTTTCCGGTCTCGGCGGCACGAATACGGTACATGGAGAAACAACCAGGCAAACAAGTGACACTACCAAACAAGCTTTCAAAGGCCTTGGCAAGGTTGTGTGAGATGAAGTATTCGTACACCTGAATCATCGTAATGTATGATGCCTTGGCGTTGGTCAGGGCGGTTTCACCACAGCAGGCAATCAATCTCGTATCATCCAGGAAGGCGGCGACAAAGCGAGTTGCGGAGTCGGGTGCGACAACGGTATCAGCGTCGATTTGCAGCATAAACTCATAGAATGTCGGGTTGACGCCGATAATGTTTCGGATCTGGTGATAAATCTCGAGCTCCAGAGGACTCATAGCCAGATTATAGTGGACGCGGTTGAGGAAACGCATGATGATCATCTGCGAGTCACGCTTGCCACGGTTTCCAGGACGCGAAACCTCGGATGGCTTTCCGACCTTGACAACGACGAGGAAAGGCACAATGTGACCTTGGACTTCGTACAAGCCAGAGTAGACCTTGCCCATGTTATGCTGCTTGAGACCTTCACCGAGCGATTCGAAGCTGAGAGGTTCTGGGTCGACAGTCTCCGAAACGCCCAAAATGTCGAGAACAATGCGAGGCGTGGGTCGATCGTTACCTTGACCAATAATCATACCATCACAGACAATGACGAGCAGCTTTCGCTTGTCATCATAGTGCATGCGTGCGGCGGAGTCAATGGCACGACGAAGCGAATCTTCATCTTCTGTATAAGCCGGGATCTGACACATGATGAACTTGTCTAGGTTCTCTGGCATATTTTTGCCACCAAAGTGCAGAGCAGCAAAGAACTTGAAACCAATGATACAGCATAGAATGATAGAGATGGCCAAAACCAGGTACTCGGCAAACTGACAGCGAGCTGAATTTCTGGTATCAACGTCTCCAACATAGAACAGATTGTCTAAACAAAGCTGTTGGCGTTTGCGCTCGTCCGTTTGAAGATCCAGTGAGTCCCAAAGCTTGGTAACATCTGTGCCCGACTTCAATTGGAAGAGAGTAACCACGAGATCGTCCATGAAATCTAGCAGAGATGAATCACTCGAGGCATTTACACCCTTTGGAGTCTGGAGGCTGACACTGCCGCGTATATAGTCTGTCATATCGTAGACACGGCCATTTAGCATTGCAATGTAATTGCTCTTGCCCGCCAAAGTTGAGACGTATTCGGCAGAATAGCCAATGTTGCCCTTTTTGTAACTGGCCTTGAGCTCGACCATCTTCTCGTAGAACCAGTCAGGTTGGTAGAGATCTGTGTTGTAGCGGAAGTCGTGGTATTGTGCGTAATAGTTCGTGCTATTGCCGAAACTGACCGATGGATCGACCGAGCCAGTGGTTCCTTGACACAAGGCTGAGATCTGAACCGGGAACAGGTCACTGGCATCCGAGCCGGCGTACTGAGTAATGGTTTTCTCAGTAATGTACGGTGGATAATGCGAGGGGAGATATGCCTCAAGATCAAAGACCTGGCCGCGGATAGCGATGTAGGAGCCATCCGACCCAGACTTGCCATTGTAAGACGACAATTCTTCTGTGCTGAAGACATACTGCTTGGGACAGATAAGCATAGGGAAGATGATAATGAAAAAGACTGCCACCAAACAACTGAACCAGATGATAATGTTAATGGCAAGCTTCTCCCTCCAAGCCATGCGGACATCCTTTCGGGGCATGCCGCACCATCGAATGAGGAAATCTGGGATGAACCACGTTAGGAGATAGGTGGTAAACACCCAGCGCTTTCGGCTTGGACTATCCCTGAATTCTTCGACTTCAACGAGGGACTTTTCATTGCCACGCTCCGCCATTTGCTCTCTGGTGTCCAGGTTTTTAAACATATCACCAGCTCCGAAAGCCGAGACTCCAGCGTCAGAGCGAGCATCGCTGTCACCGCCAAAGTAGCCACTTCTCTCCTTGCTGTGCAGAAGAGGCGTGTTTCCAGAGTGGAAGAGTCGCTCCTTGGAGGCACCAAATGCGCCAGGCGAAGGAGTCTGGCCATCACCGGCGTCCGAGGGGTATCGGCCGGATGCTGAGTGACCCTCGAGCTGGGCAACTTCCATCCAGCATCTTTCACTGAGGAACACGCCAGTGGATCCGATTTGGACTTCGTTGCTGGGCCATTGTCTGTCATGTACCACCATTTCGACCTTTTCCCGTTCACTGCCGACCAGAATGGTGTCGGCATCAGCAAGGCCCAGGAACTCGCCAAAGGGAAGGAACAGACTGAAGTCGGCAGATCGAAGACGCTGGCTAATCTCGGCTATTCCAAAGGTCTGCACCTGGGTCCGAACGCACTTGCTGTCGAATTGGTTCGCAATTCGTCGATCGTTTGGCTTGAGACAGAATACGAAATATGCGTTCGTGTTTGGCGCTGAAAGAGATTGCTTCACATTGTCCACGGAGGCTAGGAACTGTCCAGAGGCGCCCTGCTCGGATGGGCGGCTGCTCTTCTTTGAATCAGAACCTCTGCCCTCATGCCGGGATTCAGCGTCACTGCCAAAATCGTCCACCGAGCTCTGCCTCATGCGGTTCGCGCGACCGGCCCTTCCTCCCTTGCGAGACATGACACTCGGCTGTCTCATGGGCTTGGAGCTCACAGATGCCTGCATGACGGTGGACTTTTCCTTGGGGTGCATGACAGTCTGGAGAGCTTCCTGGCCAAACAGACGGACGACAAAGTCATTCTTGCTGGAGTTTACCAGGTTCATCAGATCACCAGAGATGACCTCGCCATTCTCTTCGACGAGTCCCTTGATAGGGTATTCGACTTCACCGGCAAAGTGCCTAACTGTAAAGGAAGCGGCTGTGTTCTCCGTGAAAAAGTTGCTACCTGGAAGCTTGGCCTGAGCAGAACCCACCAGAATGGCAGGGTTCTTGCCATCGAATCGCTTGCGGCAACTCTCGAGGAACTGGAGATCAGTGCGATGCCGTCTGGTCTGGTCATCCAAGATGCTCAACAATCCATTGCCAGGTTTCAAGAGACACTTGACAGCATCTGAATTGTCGAAATAGCTCGTCGCTGCGACAGAGACTTCCTCAGTGTCAAGCAAGTCTGCCTTGCGATCGAAAAAGTTCTGCAAAGTAAAGTTGTACAGGGATTCCACGGCGGCATTGTTCAAGAGCTGGTCAAGAGCATTACCAGTCGAGGATTGCTGGGAGAAGCCAGGGAAGTCCACAATAGAAATGGTGTTGGAGATGGACTCTTCAGGAGCACAAATCTTCTGGTTAATGGTCTCAATGACATAGGCAACCAACAAAGAGTAGAGTGTGCGGGCAAGTTCGTCTGCATTTGCACGAGCTCCCTTGGGGTCAAGCATGACCGTCACTCTCTCGCGGTGAATCATCTTGGTCTTGTAGCCCATGGTGCTTTGCAGGTCGGCCGAGCTTACTCCCAAGAAGGCGGCAATTATTCCCAAAACATCCTTGTTCTTGGCACCAGTTATTGTCTGGCCACCCTCGTGGGAGAAACCACCACTATCGTCGGCCGTCGGGGTGGTATCTGAGGTTGTCTCGAATTCAAGTTGTCCAATGTGCAGGATACACGCAAGAATCTGGCAGATTTCGGCAATTTCACTTCGGGGAAACTCAAGCTTTCGCAGAGCATTCTTGAAGAGCTGAAAACCCTCAGCATCGTTGATGCCAACTTTGAGCTGCGTGGGGTGACCCAAGTACTTCCATCGCCTCTGGCCGGCAGCATCGCGAGGTGTATCGATACCAAGATGCGACTTTTCCGCATCACTCGTTCCAGCCAGCAAGTAGTAGAGCACATGGAAGTTTCTCTCTCCTGTTGGAACCTCGGCGATTCTACTTCTTTCCAGACGGTGGTCCAACAGCTTAGCACCAATCAAAAGGGGATTGGTCGTTGATGCTGTATCGTATTGCAGCTCGTAGAACAGACCCGACTTGGAAGCGGTATGTGTCGTTGCTGTCTTGGTCGTCGTGAGGGTATCAAAGACGTAGGCAGCGAGGGAAGCCTTTGCGGACAGCGGCGTCGAGGATTTGTTGAGAAGAGCAGTCAAGAGATGGCTTCGAATCGTCGTCTTTCCGGAGCCCGATTCACCACTGAAAACAAAAAGTTAGAACACCGACCAACAAGAACATATTTATACAATCTCTGGACCCTGTCCGTGACTTACAGGAAAACGATGGCCTGGTTCTCAGACCTGTGTCCGAGCCGAATGTACGACCTGTCGGCCATGTCTTCGGCGCCGGCCATGGCGCTGCCCTCTTTGCCGCCATCAACACCCTTGGTCGACGATGTATAGGTGTTTAAAGACACCAGTGCGTGCGAAGAAAGCCGAGCAGTCGGAATTGACACATGAAAGCGGCTGGCGAGATGTGCCGTGATGTGAGTGTCAGACTGAAGATGTGCCGGCAGCGAAGGCAACGAGGGCTGCGTGTGGGCTCCTCCGCCGGATCCCAGTGGGATGTTGAGGGCCATGATGGCTAAACCGCCAGAGATGGCGCTTCCCAGAGACCCTTTTGCCAGTCAATGGAGGAAAACAAAGGCGTCTTGAAAGGCGAGATTCCGACTAAATGGTGCGTGGGAAGTGCAAGACTCTCTATGAGACTCCCCTGAGTAGCTGCAAAACGGCGGCTAGATGGGGTGTAAGTCGGTGCTGAGCGAGTGTATGCAGAGTATCGAAGGATTAAGGTTGCTACTACAGAACGAATGTGTGTGTATAGTCGACAACAGATATGAAGAGAAGAAACAAGAAGAATAACGACTGTGAGAAGATCACCGTCCACAACGCTGCTTTTCCCGAATGACCAAATTGCTTTCCAACACGGACAGATAGGATTCTGGAAGCAAGCTGTGCATGTTCGAGGCGTGCTGACTCTCAGCCAAGGTAATGTTTTCTTCGGGCGCAGTGCAGTGCTTTGCTGCTTCTGTCTGATCTGAGGATGGGACGGCCGGCGCAACAGACCTGAAGCGCAGGCGGGTCGCAGGATACGATGTACCTCGTCTTGATTGCCACTAATGTACGACGCTACCTTACCTAGCAGGTACCCAGCTCATGTACATCAATACTGGGCATACCATATGGGCAATGGGCTGCAACACTGATGGCCCTGAGCGCTGGGATCCCCGAATTAGTGGACTGTCCACTATCCCTCCGGTGAATCAATCAATCTTTGAGAAATTGAGATTGGTCTCCATGATCTGTTTTTCCGATACATAATATCTGTTCTGGCCGCTCGAAATCCTAACGGGACCAGCCTGATCAACATCAATCCATTATCCAATCGAGCGGAACCAAGATCTAGCATCTCGGTGGGAAAGCGGACGAGAGAATGGAAAACTGAAAAAATTCCAATCCTATTTTTACGTACAATTGTTTACATTGTCACCCAGCAGGCGGGTCTCGCCGTTGGCTGCAAGTACTATGCATGTATGATTCTAGTGCGCTCAGTAGGTACTTCCTCCTGGATCCAGTGTGCAGATGGTACCAAAGGTAAATGTAGGCAGTAGGTAGGTACCTGACTAGGACCTCGCACCCAGACTACCACCAGACCTCTCCGTATTGATCCCTAAAAAAGAAACTCGAGAACCGCTAGTAAAGACCGATTGGTCTCGGCCCCTTGTCCTAAGGCAGGTAGTTCAACCCAGTTTGTAGTGGCCAGCGACGTAGTACGGCGCGCCTGTCAGGGGGAAGGTCACAATAATTACACAGTAGGCATTCGGTAAATTTTTCCTTTTGGCTAGTACTAATTGAATCTTCAATTTGACCATTTCTGGGCTTCTTCAATATTCCGCTGATGGAATCAATAATAATATTAAAATTCGTCAGTGAGGCACAGTCTAATTGTCGATATCACTCTGTTTTAAGAGTGAGCAGCAGTTGATTGGGTTTCTCGTTGCGCATACACAATATTGTTCATACATATAGCAAATGCCAATGCATGCACAGTTGGTAGGTAGACATTTACATCATTGATGCTACGAAAAAGCAAGGCAGCCAAGCAGTCAATTCGGACTTTGGCGAGTCGAGCACATGCGATGCACGCGCTGCTCTCGGCCGGCTGCAATTGCGGCGACTGCAACCAGCCCTATCACGTTCACATTTTGGTTGGTTGATTGCATAGGGGCTGGTGCTACTGACTGATCTCTGCTCAGCTTTCCGCCAGCGGGCAACGAGAGAATCCGGCGTTGGACGAGTGTTGTCAGCTTACACGACTGACAAGTCCTGTTGATGATGAGCTGGCAAGGCTGGTCAGCGTGCAAAGCTACCTACCTATGACTCTGCTACTTGACCATGCTTTTTGATATTGTCATCAATTCGTCTCTCCGACGGTCTTGATGGTAGGTTTTGCATACGACAAGGGAACGTGACATTGATGAGGAGCTGACCTTTTTTTTTTTCCTCACCTCTGACCCTTGGCGCGAATAGCGTGGCGGAGCAGCGGGTGTATCAGACGTTCAGTCAGCGGGTATCGATCATTACGATTTTTTTTTTCCCCCTAGACGCCTTTTCCCATCTAGTTGGGCGCCGCAAATCTATTCTGGCTAAGAACACTGGCGGCCGATGAGACAGTTGAACACCATCAAGTAAAGAGGCTGTACCGGCTCGTGTACATACGGCTTCAGCCATTCATCGATTGTGGTTTAATAAACGGTACATGTGTAAGAATATTATACGGAAGGAATCAAGAATGTGTGCTCAAATTGAATGCTGCCGCTGCTCCACGCGTCGTCCATCCACGAGCACACACGCTTTCTCTGCATGGTTACGCAAACTGGGGATTTGTTCTACCGTTAGAGTTTGTAAAGTCTATTTCAACTTAGAATCTGATTTGCAGTGGTACCAGAGTCTGAGGATCCTCTTGGTCGCAAACCATTTTGTGCAACATGGCAAAGGATATATGCACAAATTCCCGAGGTGCATTTTCTTCACATGGCAGTGCTGTAATGAAAACCAAATCATACCCAAACCCTCTCTCTCACTGTATGCTTCCTCTACATCTTGAGCGAAATACGTCACGAAACAGCCACCCGTTCCATGACAAAACCATAACAGGACAGAACAGCTGTCAAATACATGCTACTGGCGATGGACTCGGCAGATCCGCTGATCGCTTGTCAATGTCAAGGACTCGAAAGGGCAGAGGGCTCTTCTTGTCAAGGGCAAACGCGCTTGGGTTTCGATCGTATTAGCCAGTGCTCCGCCATGTTCGTGACGGCCTCGACCGTGTTGCAGCGACGGTTTAGTCTTACCCAGACGACTCCAGTGCACACGAGCTTTTTCAATGCTGTTGGGTGGCCTCATTCCACAATTTAAGGGGGCCAGTTTCTTGGGAGGCTAAGACTAGACCCCAATCGGGCAGGGCTCCTCGGCCTGCTCCAGCTGGTGTTGCCAGTCCTTTTCCCTCGCTTCTTTGCTGACCAGCAAGGCCAGCCAGTGACCCCAGCACGGCATCGGATGTTCAGATCATCTGGGTCTTTGCAGGGTGGGCAGGGCAGGGCAGGGCTCCATTTCGCCGCTTCGTATTCCCTGAATTACGGGCCCTCCTCATGCACAACTCCAGTCAACAAGACGCGGGCAGTTCGGTCTCCATAGGTAGCAGGCAGGCAAGCAAGCCAAGCAGGGCATGGAAATGGCATGGTAGGACTGGGTCTCACGCGGCGGTTCAGTGCAGGGCCAATGATTCTTGCCAATCCTATGAGCAGAACACCACCAGAGAGAAGCTGGTGCCGCACCACTCCCCGGACAAACAGAACCAGATCGACACCATCCTTAGCCGGTCCAGCACCTTAATATCTTTATGCAAAAATAGCCTTTCCGGACTGGCGCAAATGCGCAACTTGTCTCATGCGCCCGCCGGACATTCTGCTGCTGCCCTGAACCAGTAAACGTTGGCTGGCTAGTGATCTTTTTTCGGACTGCTCTGCTACCTACCATAGGGGACGTTGCCTACCTTGCACACACTCACACATACAGCTTCCCTTTCATCATCGTCATTCACAAGGGAAGTTGTGTTTTTCTTTCGAGAAGCCTTCTCTATTTTCCTTTGCTATACTGTTTGCTCGTTCCTAGCCTGCTCACTCGCTTTGGCGGCTTACTCTACTATCGTTTTTCTTAATACCTTTTTGAAAATCTATTGAAAGATTCGGCATAGTTGCGGCATCTTTACATCGGGAGAGGTGTTGCCCAGCGAACAGGAAGATTACACTCCTCCTTCCTGAACTTTCATCCTGCATACCCGCATCTTGTTGGCTTGACCGTCTTTTACTCAAAAGATAAACGCATGCTATGAGCGTCAATTGACGTTTGATACACGTTTCTTGCCGCTCAGCACTCGTGGTGTTGAACTAAAACCTCCACAGTTTCTTGAGTAGCCAAAAACATCGTGATTGTCCGCAAGGACAACGCGAGTCGACAATTAAAATACAACATGGCTAACCACCAAGCCCGCATGTCAATGTACTCGGTGGCTTCCGACTCTGCCACTGGACATCGAGGACCAGGACAGCAGGCATCCCAAGTCTCAACTACAACATTGCTGAATGGAACTCATAATATTTACTTGTCTTCCCAGCCATACCAGCTCGATGCTGCGACGAGTATAGTCGTCAACACGTGGTTGACCGCGGCTCAGGTTGGACCTGACGGGAGGACAGGTGGTACTGTCGATGCTAGTTTGGCTGCTCGTGCCTGGGAACACGCACGACGTCGCGCAGAGGATGGTTGCATTGTCCTGAGGTTTGTTTACCTTTGTCTACAGAGGATTACTTGAGATGGACTGACATGATATAGCTCTTTGCACACATCGACGCCATCTGTTCTGGCACCATTTCTTCAAACGCTCCCTCTATCTCTTCCGTCGTCCCTGTTTGCAGCTCTCGAAGCAATCAGACCGTTTATCCACTGCGTCACTCCGTACAACCCTTCAACGCCCCTTCAAGCTGCTCTCGGTGTCACCTTGACTCTCAACCTCACAGGCAACTTAACTGCTACCACGCTTGCACTGTCTCAGGGCGGAATCGACACAGCAAAAGGTCTCTTGAATATTCCTGCGGAAGCGGGATACCGAGCCTTTGATGTCTTCTACTACTTGCTGACCTCGGCTTCGACGCCGGCCGAACGCGAATTTCTCGGCCTTAAGCCAGCTGCGAGCTACTCTCTCCTCGCCAAATCTGGCACTTATGACCCGCCGTCCTATCTGCCAACCGCCGACGACGCAGCTGCTGCCGATGATTTCAGAGCTGCTCTCAAAGAGATTGGTATCAAGGGGTCTGCGCACCGCAACTTCATCTCTACTCTTGCTGGTCTACTCAAGCTTGGCAACACAATCGACTATAGCGTAGATGGGGATCTCCTAGACGACATTTGTGAAGATGTTGGTGGATTGCTCGGACTAGACCCTGAGGTGTTGGCACGTCAATGCAGTACCGAGGATAGGCAGACTCTGGTCGGAGGTCTTTACGAGGCTTTGGTTGATTGGGTCATTTCAAGGGCGAATGAGGCCATTGCCGTTCAACTTTCCCGTACGCGAGATGGCGCAGATTCCCTCGATGGCCATGATTCCAGCAATGATACCGTCTGCATCACGGTCGTTGAAATTCCGGACCCTACCCTCGGCAAGGCCGTCGCTATGCGTGGCATTTTTGATGACTCGACTGGAATCAACGCTGAGATGAAGGATGATGGTGTAGAAGTGATTGCGGCGGGCAGCTCCGTTTTGCGAGAAATGCAGAATGCTGTGGCTGAAGTCGGGCCAGAGCTCGGTATCATGACTGGACCAGCAGGCCGCGACAGGCAGCATGAACTCGAGAAGAGGGAAGTTGTCCTCGAAAAGGTGGGCCTCGCCGGGGATGACGATGGCTTCCTGAAGAAGCTCCTCTTTCCCGTAGCAGGAGCAGGCATCAATCTTGGCCGCGCTGGGCGGTTCGATCTCTCCTCGGTGCTTGCCAGCAGCCGTGCTTGGTATCACCTTTCCATCCACCCGACCGATGATACACCTGCCAGTCTAGCAGCACTGCCATCGATCACTTCTGCTTGGTCTGCAGGCACCGTCTCGCGCCAGCTCCGAGCTTGGAGGCTGCCCGAGTGGGCGAACCGCCGGAATAAGAATCTGGACTTTACGGCTGATTTTGATCTGGAGGAGTTCACCACTCGTTTTGCTCCGTTGGGCTGCCGTGACGGCCGTGAAGGCATCGAAACGTGGATCCTTGAAAGAGGCTGGAGCAACGGCGAGGTCGTTGTGGGGCGCGAACGCGTTTGGATGCGCGAGTCCGCCTGGTGGGAAGCCGAGAGTATGCTGGACATGAAGCCCGCCGACATGCCCATGGGAGCCAGCATGATGCTTCCTTCTGGGGCCCTCGAAACGGGCTACTCCAACACTGGCAGCGGCTATTTTGGTGGTCCATTCATGGACCAGAACTCCAACATGAGCAATGACCATATGGTGCACTCTCGCAACCAAAGTCAGATTACCTTGGCGCAGCAAGGCCTTGCTGCTCCATCTATAGCTCCTAGTGCCATGCGAAATCTGAGCTCTGGTGATTACGGTCTTGGCAACAAGGGAGACAGTCATCGTGACCAGATCTATTACACCAGCGGTGGTGATTTTGGCAACAACCTCGATCCGGACCTTGCTCAAGGAAAGCATGTTGAAACTGAGAGCGTGACCTTTGGCCGAAGAGCTTGGGTCATGTTGGTGTGGACGCTTACTTTCTGGATTCCATCGCCTCTGCTCAAGTACGTCGGTCGCATGAAGCGACCCGATGTCCGTATGGCCTGGCGTGAAAAGGTGGTTCTCGTGTTCCTGATTGCCCTTGCCAACGCCATCATCATTTTCTGGATTATCTGGTTTGGTCAGTTGCTTTGCCCCAATTCCGACAAGGCATGGGACCGGGACGAGGTCGCCACTCACATGGGTTCCGCGGATTTCTGGGTCAGCATTCACGGAAAAGTCTACGATATTTCGAAATTCTACAAATTGCAGCACAGTGACACGGATACTGAGACAAGTTCGAGCAACATGGAGCAGTTTGCTGGTCTGGATCTTTCCGAGTACTTTGTCGCCCCCTTGCCGTTGACTTGTCCTGGACTCGGCATTGACAGGACTACCTACCTCAAGCAGAACAGCACACCCGAGTTGACTGAAGGCATTCACTATACTGGCTACCTTCAGCCCGACACAACCTCGAAGCTCGCGTCAGATACCTGGTACAGTGACTACTTTGAGCCCCGCATCAAGGAGTATTATCACGGTGACCTGGTCTGGGACAAGTCAGACGTGGAGACGGATGGTTCTGATAACAGCCACATGTGGGTGATCTACGATGGCGGTATCTACGACTTGACCGACTATTTCGTCACCATCAAATATTATACCGACACTGCCCACAACTTTTTGGATACCACACTCGTAAACGCCGTCAAGGAGAACCCCGGCCAGGATATCACGTCAAACTGGAACGAGCATATCAACAGTGTCAAGACCAATGCGACGGCATATGCCACTGCCATGAACAGTCTCAACTGCATCAAGAACACCTTTTATGTTGGTATTCCCGATTTCCGGTATTCTGCTCGCTGCCAGGTCAACAACTACCTCCTTTTGGCCTTTACCATTATCCTGTGCGCCGTTATTCTGCTCAAGTTCGTCTCTGCTTTGCAATTTGGTTCCAAGCGCCGGCCATCTCCCCAGGACAAGTTTGTTATCTGCCAGGTGCCTGCCTACACCGAGGACGAGGACTCGCTAAGAAAGGCTCTCGACTCCTTGACTGCTCTACAGTATGACAACAAGCGGAAGCTCATTTGTGTTATTTGCGATGGTGTTATTATTGGTAAGGGCAACGACCGTCCCACGCCCAAGATTGTGCTCGATATCCTAGGTGTCGACCCCAAGGTTGATCCTCCTGCACTTCCATTCAAGTCCGTCGGAGCTGGCAATGAGCAGCTCAACTACGGAAAGGTCTACTCTGGTCTCTACGAGTTTGAAGGCAATGTTGTTCCTTACCTTGTCATTGTCAAGGTTGGTAAGGAATCTGAACAGACCAAGGCCAAGCCCGGCAACCGTGGAAAGCGTGACTCTCAGATCTTGTTGATGAGCTTCCTCAACCGTGTCCACCACCGTTCTCCCATGAACCCCTTGGAGCTGGAAATCTTCCACCAGATCAACAACATTATTGGCGTGGATCCCGAGCTGTATGAATATCTACTCATGGTTGATGCCGATACGTCTGTTCGCGAGGATTCTCTCAACAGGCTGGTTGCCGCTTGTGCCAACAACTCCAAGATTGCCGGTATCTGTGGTGAGACTGCTTTGCAAAACGAGGAAAGATCATGGTGGAGTATGATTCAGGTCTACGAATACTTCATTTCCCACCATCTCGCAAAGGCTTTCGAATCCCTCTTTGGCAGTGTTACCTGTCTTCCTGGTTGGTAAGTAAATCATATCTTCACTGTCGTTTAAGGTGTAATGCAAATGCTAACAATGTAATAGTTTCTCCATGTACCGTCTGCGCACTGCTGACAAGGGCAAGCCGCTGCTGATTGCTGATGGTGTGATTCGCGAGTATAGTGTCTGCAACGTTGACACTCTCCACAAGAAGAATCTCTTGTCTCTCGGAGAGGATCGTTACCTGACCACGCTCATGACCAAGTACTTCCCTTACATGTCCTACAAATTCATCGCCGACGCGTACTGTCAGACGGCAGCACCCGAAGAGTGGGCGGTTCTGTTGTCCCAAAGACGACGATGGATCAACTCTACCATTCACAACCTGGTCGAACTGATGATGCTCAAGGACATGTGCGGATTCTGCTGTTTCTCGATGCGTTTTGTCGTCTTTATCGATCTCACTGGTACCATCATTCTGCCTGCAACCACCATCTATCTCGCTTACCTGATCTACCGTGTGGCCACCAACACTGGCCAATTCCCTATGATTTCCATCATCATGTTGGCAGCAGTATACGGTCTTCAAGCAATCATCTTTATCCTCAAGCGACAGTGGCAGCACATTGGTTGGATGATTATTTACATCATCGCCTTCCCTATCTACTCCTTTATCCTCCCAATTTACTCGTTCTGGAAGCAAGACGATTTCTCCTGGGGTAACACGCGTATCGTTATTGGAGAAAAGGGTAGCAAGTAAGTTTCTCCTGTTTTTCCCATGTTGCTTGAGTGTCCATGACTAACTATGAAATAGGCAAGTTGTTGCTGTCGATGGCGAAACATTTGACCCACGGTCTATCCCTCTCCAGCGTTGGGATGATTACGCAGCTCTCAACAACCTCCCCGGCCGCCGTGGTAACTACTCTGAAAAGGCCGAAGTTCAGCCCTTCGACGACGCATACGAGATGGACGATATGAAGTCCGTCTACAGCTCCGTCCGTCAGCAGTCGGTACTGCACGGCCTTCAAGGCAACCGCTCCACGTTTATGCCTCCCACGGCTCAGTCGCCTGGTCACGGTTCCATGTCCAGAAACTCGGCATATATGCCATACTCTGATGGCCACATTAACCGCCAGTCCACGGCTTCCTTTGGCGATATTCAACGCATCAACAGCCCATACCAGGACAGGCCCAGCGTGTCCAACCTGCGTAGCGTAGCCAATATTTCGCCTTCCAGAGACATGCACCGCCAGTCCCAAGTGACTCTCGGATACAGCGGTGGATCCCGGCTTGGACAAGGCGCCGGTCACCAGAGCCAGAGTTCGTTCGATTTCCAACGCGGTCACATTGGTCCCGACGACGCCATGATTGTCGATGCCATTCAAGCTACCCTCCGCGAGGTGGATCTCGACACGGTCACCAAGAAGCAAGTCCGCGCTCTTGTCGAGCAGCGCTTGCAAACCGAGTTGACTGGTGAGAGAAGAACATTCATGGACAGACAAATCGACAATGAGCTGGCCAACATGTAAAAAAAAGGAAATTTGCCCATCTTTAGTAAGCATTGTAAATAGCCGACTCGCAAGACATTTTGTCCATGTCATGTGGTGTTTGAAAACATCAAGTTCTCACTTTTGATCGGCACCAAAACTTTGGGTATCAAGGCGTTCATAGAGGATCAGTTTTGGGCGGCTCATCAGTTAGCATCGGGTGTGTAAGGGAAACTTTTTTTGGTGCAAACTTTTTTTTGCACAATGATTTTTTATTTGGAAAGCAAAGCATAATTGGGATTGAATCTAATGGGAATCATCTTCAACTTACGATCCTTTGGACATATCATAGCATTATATCACAGCATAAGTAATACAATATTTGTGGCTTTCTAGCAATTTATTCGGACTCGAGGATGGGCATATGACTTATTCGTCCATGTGGATTTAGCACTTGACCAGATCTCGTAGATTCCTGCACATAAATTGACTTTGATGGCAGCATGAGTTTAACCTTGTTTCTTATCATGGCTTCATGTCAGTTTTGAGACAAACCCGCAAAGTTCGTAGTTGAGTCTTTCAAATTCACCGAGACCAAAGAGCTTACGGTGATCGTTTCTAACCTCGTTTTCTTTCACGTTTGCGACTGGTTAAATTTGTGGAGAAGATATGTGCTGAGCAGGTTTCAACAAATGTCTTGTCGCTATTTTGATCTGCCGAGGGTAGGACAGATATCACAATATAGTTCCAGCTCTCATATGACATGATGTACAAACGAACCTGCCGCCGTGGACTTGACGTGCCAATGGATCTGTCTCAGTGTGGACACCTCCAGTGTCTTGACGATGAAACAACGCCAACTAAAGACGAGAGAGAAAGGGAAAACACAAATCTGGCAGATGCTCGCTCGTCTTGCTCTAATCAAATTGGGCGTTTCAAAATCATTGTATTTTACCCACTCCCTTGAGTCGAAGGTACACGTCTGTTCCCCAGCCATGCAAGCTCTGAACAGCGATTCCGCCACCGAAATATTCGGCATATGCTCTGCTCAGGGGCAGTCCATAGCCTAGTCCTGCAATTGAACTTCCACCGCTGTTGGCATTGGAAATGACGCTCAGAGCATCACCTGGGTTTGCGCCTGCAGGAGAATCCTCCTCGGAAAAGGTTGTAAAGCTGTAGCTCCACACGTTTGGTAGTACTTCGGGAGAGATGCCGCCGCCGCGATCTCGAATGCGAATAGTCACACCGGGGGCATTGTCATCCAGAGGCTTGATCGCCTCACTACGGAAAGCGCCTTTGTTCTCGGCTGGAGGATCAAGCTTGACCTTTGGGGGACCGGCATCCGGTGGTTCCGGCGCAATGGTAATGACAACAGGCTCCTTACTGTTGCGGCCCTCGATTGTTGCACGGAATGCGTTCTTGAGAAGCTCCGTGAGGATATATTCGAGGTGCATGGGGACATAGGCGAATGCAGTGTCCGGTTCGCCGTCGACAATCCATCTTGGGCGAATGCCATACTTGTATTCACAAATCTCGGCAACCCAATTCGCACACGAGTCGACAACGTCGGCAGGACACAGGGCCGTATCAATGACTCCAATAAAGCTGGGATGCTCGGGACATGGCGTCGGGCTGGCGGCAGGGTCAAAATGAACGGCACTAGAGTAGTGCAACGCAATGTGCTGTTCGGCAATAAGTCGTGTGCCAATACGAGCACGAAGATGCTCGTCGAGAAATCGTGTCACTTCGGTAGGTGAAATGTAACGGCGGCATTCGAGAAAGCCCTTGGCGAGAATCGGAATGGTGTCCTGGTGCGTGTGCACCAGCTCGGCCAGAACCGAGGTAAACTGTATCTCTCCTTCGACATTGGAGATGGTCCGGTGTTTCCACGGCAACAGAGTCGACAAGGAGTGTAGGTAGTTGTTGTAGATTTTGCTGATATTCGGGTTGGATACCACGATGAACGGCAGGTTCCGCAGAGCCTGAATACGGTGGGCAAGTCGGATTGGTAGGAGGCTCAAGGTGAAATTGGCTGACGAGAAGAGCGACTGGGCTGCCAGCGGAGGCCGGCCATGTTTGACGAGGTCTGCCAAGCTCAGAGAGTGCTGGTGTTGGTTGCTCAGATTGGCGACATCGGAATCGGTTACTGTCGCGGTGCTCGGAGGTTGCGACCACTTCTTATCGGAAAGAGAGAGGTCTGGCGCAGAGGTTGAGGATAAACGGCATAGTTGGTCAAAAGGCGACTTGAGGGCAGCTGGATGTCTTATTGATCCGGCCCTGGGCAGCATTTGCCCCAATGGCCGTCTAAGAGGTATCATGGTGGCATTGTGTGGTGAAGTGAAACAGCAGCTGTTGTTCTGTCGTCGGCACGGCCAGCGGTGTAGAAGTAAGGTAACAAATTGGGGGAATTGTCATGCCACCCTTGCGGCCAATGCCATAAATTCAGGCGTTGCTGATGTGATGTCACGCGCCATTGGATCCCCCAGGAGAAAGGACCCCCACGATAAGCTTATCGAGCATGGAATAATAATACCTTAATATGCCGATCCCAACCGAGACTGACCAACACCCGCTCCCCAGTCCATCTCGGTCTTTCACGATGCACCCGGATTTCTTTGGCTTGGGGAGTTGACAATTATTGTTGTATTTCCACTCCGTGATAAATTGTAGTGCTAGTGGTAGATGACACCAGTGTAGAAGATGGAGTCACTGGCTTGATCCCCTGTTACGAGCAGATGCAAACACTATCCTATACAAGCATTGTAGGTACAACAATTGCCTTAGTTACAAGAGGGGGGTTTTCAGTACACCTAGTTTCCTACAGTATAGTTGATCGCTCAACACTAGCTCCATGTAATACCTAATTCTGTGCAGCCGTTTCAGCTCACGGAAGGCTGCCGACGCCGTCGTCAAAGACGACGGGAGCCCATGAAGTGGCTGCAGCAGGAGACATAGCATTGATAACTCGAAGGACAAGATTCAAGATCAGTTCGCTATTTGTTTCATATTAAAAGAAAAAGACAGAATACAAAATTATAGTTAAATAAGATAGTGATAACCGCGCATGGTGTTTAGGCATGAGCAGTGCTGATGCGAGGTCGCAGCAATAGCCGTGATTACTGAGTTAAACGTTGAAAAGAGCATGATTTGAACTAATGTTATACTCAGTCGTATTTGATGAGCTGATAGTGACAGTTGCTGTCATACTGAACATGCTGAAAGATTGCAAGTTGAGGCACGAACGGCATGGTCCGCAGGAAGATGAATGATGGACTGGCGCATGGGGGTCAGATACACTCTCAGTAAAGGGTATTATCATTTCGTCCTTCCCGGTGTTGACAATAAACCAGATCATGGATCTCTACAAATCGAATTATTTGGTGGACACGTGTGCAGCAACGGCGGCGCTCGGAAAGGGTCTTGATAGGTCATATTCGCATTCCAATCGTACAATGGGTAAACTAGAGGTTTCTAGGCAGTTACGAACGTATCATAGTTGCCGCTTATGCAATGCCGTTCTTTCCCATGATGCCATGTATAAAGTCCTCGCACAGCCGCTTCTTGTGATCGGTATGATTAACTATGGATTGCTCGAGCTTTCTATTGAGTCTTCATCTCCTGGTCGGCCTCGACAGCCTTGACGTGCTCGTGGCTCTCGAGAGTCTGGACAGAGTCCTTGGGGAACTCGACGCTGCAAAGATATTGTTAGAAAGCTAGAGCTCCAGTCTTGTTGGAGGAGGCCACTTACGCAAAGCCCTTGATCAGGCTGTACTCGTGTGTAATCTTGCCGCCCTGGTCCTTGGCGTGCTGCTTGGCAGCAGCGACTTGCTCAGGGGAAGCGTCGTCCTTACAGGTGACCTATATGGAAAAAAGAGCAAGTCAGTTTTGGACGACTGGGTCATGACAGGTGCTGTGTTGAACAGAGGACTGGCGTCGTCGCGCCGGGCGGGGTTCAGCTTGGATCCGCCAGGAGGATACGTACAATGTAGCTAGGCATTTTGGCTGATGTGGTGTGGAAGAGACGTAATAACGAGCTTGGTTGTCGTTGAGGTTTAAGATTATGTCCTGGCAAAGAACTGGATTGTCTCAGTGATAGTAGTATTGAATGATGTTGACAAAGCTGAAAACCGAGCGCGGGCATCGAGTTCGTTTTAAGTACCCTGCTGATGGGGGGCTTGTATCTAAGGTAAGATGGCACAGGACTTTATGGAGCCCGTCCACCTCGGCGTGAATTCACTTCCTTCTAACCATACAAATTCCGTCTCATGTAACGATACGGCGGCCTGTTAGTTGAAAGCATACGTCATGTCCTTGGATGGCTGTCCGCCCCTCCCTCCACACCTCTGTGCTGTTCTTACTTGGACGGAGTCACACCAGACTCGCCAGACGGGACGCGGCTCCAGAGTCCAAGCCACTGACACGACACCAAAGGGTGCCCACTCACTCCCTCCCTCCCTCCATCTGCCAAGTCAAAGTGAACTCCGATGGCAAGTGGCTGTATTCCGTCTGGAAACTGAACTGGTTTGCCAAGTTTCCGGCTTCCACTTATAGAATAATAAGGAGTCATCCGGACAGTTGCGTACTTTGTTCATGCATGCAGTTGAGAGTCCGGGATCAGCCATAAGGAGTTCATTAATCGTGTTAATCACCCCCATCTTGCATGTCCCTACCTTCAAACCAACCATAGAGCCAAGACTTGATCGGAATCGATGAGCCAGTCCCAGAGGCAAGGATACTACAAGGCTTTCTGTGGCCCAGAGATGGGGGTGAATCAAGGCCAACTGATGCGTTTTCGAGGCGGCCATAGGTACAAGTGATACGCAGGCGCTTGTGAATAGCCCCGCTTTCGTCATGCCACAAGCCAAACAATAGTTCAACCCCGCAGCAGCATTGATGAGACCCCTCGTCAGAGCGTGCTAAGATAGCGCGACGGCCCCGATAGACTATCAGTGCTATCGATTAGATAAGCCTAGCTCGATCGGTGCAGGGTCCCAAAAAAATTATTTGCAACCGAGTCGGCTCAAACTGGGCGAAGGTCTCGTCTCTGTTTCCGCATTGTGTTTGTTGATGGTGCTTGCGCATTTCGCAACCAACGTCTGCCACCATGGACGCGCAATCGCACAAGCCTCATCGAGCGGCCAAAGAAAAGAAGCAACATTCGGGTGATCGTAACCCAAAGGCTTTTGCCTTCTCCAATCCCGGAAAGCTCGCCAGGCAGGCTGCTAGATCTGGTGATATCAAGGAGAAGCGCCTCCATGTGCCTCTCGTCGATCGTCTGCCCGAGGAGGCTCCTCCGCGTCTCGTCACCATTGTTGGTCCTCCGGGAGTTGGCAAGACTACACTTCTCAAGTCCTTGATCCGTCGATATGCGAAAGAAACCCTATCCGAGCCGCAAGGCCCCATCACCGTCGTCACGTCCAAGAAGCAACGACTCACTTTCGTCGAATGTCCGAACGAGCTCGAGGCAATGGTCGACATGGCCAAGGTTGCAGATATCGTGTTGCTCATGATTGATGGAAACTTTGGCTTTGAGATGGAGACCATGGAATTCCTCAACGTTTTGTCGGCGACGGGTATGCCTGGTAACATCTTTGGCGTTTTGACGCATCTTGACCTCTTCAGGAAGCCGCAAGCTCTGAAAGATGCCAAAAAGCGCCTCAAGCATCGACTTTGGCGCGAATTGTACCAAGGCGCACATCTGTTCTACCTGTCTGGTGTCATCAACGGACGTTACCCCGATCGAGAAATTCACAACTTGTCTCGTTTCCTTTCCGTCATGAAGAACCCTCGACCCTTGATCTGGAGAAACTCCCACCCTTACACCATCATTGATAGCTTCCGCGACGTGACGCACCCGAACCAAATCGAGGCGGACGAAAAGTGCGACAGAACGATTGCACTGTCTGGTTATCTACGCGGTACCAACTTTTCCGCCGAAGGTCAACGAGTGCATATTCCAGGTCTTGGAGACTTCAACGTCAAGGCTGTCGAGACTCTACCCGATCCATGCCCTACCCCACAAATGGAACAGGCCGTGGCCAAGGCAACTGGCAAACCCGCGAGGCGGCGACTTGACGAAAAGGAGAAGAAGCTACACGCTCCCATGTCTGACCGAAGCGGACTAAAGATTGATGGCGATGCCATCTGGATTACCCGAGAAAAAGGTTTCACTTTCAACAAGGACGCGGCTGATGCCGAGCGTGGCGAGGGAGAAGAGCTCATTGTTGGACTTCAGGGTGAGCGCCGGCTACTGGGTCAGACAGAGGACGGTATGCAACTGTTCCACGGAGGCGAGAAAATTACTGCCGTGCCAGAGGAAGAAGATACTGGCAGGAAAACACAAAGAACTGCCAGATTTGCTGAAAGGGAGGAGGATGAAGACCTTCCGGATGATGAAGGCTTCGTGAGTGGAGAGGACGACGAAGCCAATTCGGAAGAGGACGAATTCGACGAAGGCAAGCTGGGCAAGATGTTCCGCCAGGATGCCGACAAGAATGGAGACGAGGATGATGTTGCTTTTGCGGACAGCGACTCTGACTTCGGCTCGCTGTCTGGAGATGAAGATCCCGAGGGATCGGACTCGGAGGACGACTTTGACGATGACGACGAAGAAGCGGCTGCCTTGCGCTGGAAAGAAAACATGACAGAGAGGGCACAAAAGCTGCATGGCGGCCGTCGTTCATACCGCACTGGTGATCTGGCTCGGATGATGTATGACGAATCAATCACTGCTGAAGAAGTTCTCCGAAGATGGAAGGGCGAAGTCGAGGCCGAGGAAGAAGAAGACATTGAGGCTGATTCCGATGATGACGAGTTCTTCAAGAAGACCAAGCAGGAGACCGATGATGTCTCTGCCGATGATCGGTCGGTACCAGTATACGACTATCAACAGCTCGCCGCGAAATGGTCGGTTTCTGATAATGTTGAACTACTCCGTCAACGGTTTACCACGGCAACCCTTAATGATGCTGATGGTGATGGGGGCGATGATGAGTTCTCCGGCTTTGATGAAGACGACGAGGGTGATGGAGAGTTTGAAGATCTTGAGACTGGGGAGAAGCATGGTGGCGCTCCTGAAGCTCAGCCTGCAGAGAGTCTCGAGGACGAACGTGCCAAGAATGCTCGTCGCAAGGAAGAGCTCAAATTACGTTTCGAAGAGGAAGATAGGGAAGGGTTTTCCAACGACAAGGCGAATGCTCGCCGAGAAGCTGGCAACAATGCAGATGAGTTTGGCGAGGATGAGTGGTACGATGCCCAAAAGGCATTGATACAGGTGAGTTGTATCCAACATCTCCTGTTTAATTCGAATATGCTAACCTGGTTAGAAACAACTCGACATCAACCGTTCTGAATTTGATGCTCTCGATGAAAGACAGCGAGCTGCAGTCGAGGGTTTCAAGGCTGGCAAATATGCCAAGCTCGTCATTGAAGGCGTTCCCGCTGAATTTGTGCAAAACTTCAATGCAAGCCTGCCGGTTATCGTTGGTGGTTTGGCACCGACGGAAGACAGATTTGGCTTTGTCCAAGTTAGAATCAAGCGTCACAGATGGCACAAGAAGATTCTGAAGACAAACGACCCCTTGATCTTTTCACTGGGCTGGAGACGATTCCAGACAATGCCCATTTACAGCATATCGGACTCGCGAACGAGGAACCGTATGCTCAAGTACACGCCTGAGCACATGCATTGTTTTGCAACGGTGTACGCTCCGCTGATTGCTCCAAACACTGGTTTTGTCTGTTTCAACTCGTTTGACTCATCCAACCCAGGCTTCCGTATTGCAGCCACTGGCACTGTCCTCAGCGTGGACGAGTCTACTGAGATTGTCAAGAAGCTCAAATTGACTGGTGTGCCCGCCAAGGTCTACAAGAACACGGCCTTTATCAAGGACATGTTCAACTCGTCTCTTGAAATTGCCAAATTCGAAGGCGCGGCCATCAAGACAGTCAGTGGCATCAGAGGTCAAATCAAGCGCGCTCTCAGCAAGCCTGAGGGGCATTTCCGAGCCACATTCGAGGACAAGATTCTCATGAGCGACATTGTCTTTTTGCGCGCCTGGTTCCCCATCAAGCCGCACCGCTACTACAACGTGGTGACGAACCTGGTCGGTGGCTGGCATGGCATGCGACTGACGGGTGAGGTGCGCCGAGACCAAGGTCTTGCCACTCCTCAGGACAAGAACAGCAAGTACCGCAAGATTGAACGACAGGCTCGCCACTTTAACCCTCTCAAGGTGCCACGTGCTCTGGCCGCTTCTCTGCCTTACAAGTCGCAGATTGTCCAAATGAAGCCCCAGCGACACACCACGTACATGCAGAAGCGTGCCGTGGTCCTTGGCGGCGAAGAGAAGAAGGCTCGCGACCTTTTGCAAAAGATCACTACCATCCGTAAAGACACGGAAGCCAAGCGGAAAGTCAAGAAGGACGAGAACCGAGCCAAGTTCCGCAAGAGAATGGAGGATATGAATGACAAGAAGGAGGCTCGCGAGAAGAGGGAAAAGAAGGAATACTGGGAGCGGGAAGGCAAGAAGCGCAAGGCTGGTGACGAGGGTGGTGGCGGTAAACGCAGGAGGTAGATATACCCTCTTGTGATTAGACAAACCTAAGCATAGCCCGGCATACCTGCGATATTTGCTACTATATATCCGGCATACTGGAATTTAGATCAACCATTGTTTTCGATATACATTATCTTGTTTAGATCCCCACATTATTTCAGTATTTCTGCACTGCTTAAAACTGGCATCTGTGTTTTCATGATACCATGGTCACTGAGGCACATGAAAACGTTTTCGAAAGTGTCATCTTTGTTCTTTTCATTTAATCAATAATGGAATCTCATTCACACCAAAACTTTTCCCCACGAGCCTCTCTCCCCTTGGGCCAACCCCTCCCATTTACCCACGCGCAATGGACGGCGCCCCATCAAGGACGAGTCTCATACTCTGCAGCCGAGTCGGAACCATTATCGGAACCCTGCTCATCCGAGCTTGACTGATCGTCTGCGCCGTCTCCTCCTCCATTGCCGCCATCGTTGGCATTGTCGGGGCTGTCGTCTTGGCCGCCGCCGCGGCTCATGCAAGATCCTTCTTCCTCCCCTAGGGAGCGGTTCCTTTTGCTGGAAGACATTCTCGGTTGGTTGGTTGGTTACTTGGTATTATTATCGTGCTTCGTAATGTAAAGGAAAATGGTGGTTCGCACTTGATCTGTATTCTTGCGCTGCGTAGTCTAACTGGTGAGCAGAAAATTCTTGGATTGTTCTAGTCGCGACATTTATATAGGCATTTTCCACCAGGCAATGGTGATTGAGCTTCATCGAGACATGTAACCAACAAGAGTCATCATCATGGTCATTGGAATGAATAAACCGGCTGATGCTTGCGGCCAGCAGGTTACTTATTGTTCAGATATGCTATCAGATTCTTTCTGAATCGACCATGACCCACGAGGGTACAAAATAGCGGGCGGCTTTCTTTTCGCCCTGAGTTCTTTGCATCGCGGAGTCTGTTGTAATTTCACCTTGTTCCAAATATAGCCATGGCTGTTGCCTCGAGTACTGACAATCTCGATTCACAAAGAAACATTCGTCCCTTGCGTTACAAATTGTGGCTTGATCAACCCAACAGCAAATATTGGATGATGGACTATATAGAAACGTCAAAGTAAAAATCCTTTTGCAAAGCTTGCTGCCAATAGCTTCATTAATGTTCCAAATGAAAATAAAGCCCTTCAAAGACAATTCTCGTAGCTACCATTTTATGTATACATGACAATCTTTTGGCGTGACAAATGTCTATTACTGATTGCCGTAGCCATGTCTCGAGCCCTGTCGTCCATTTCCGTGCAAACTAGGAGCGTAAATAAGAGATTCATTATCGTAACTCCTGTCAACTCCTTGCTCTCTTTTTTAAACTATAAAAACGCGATTCGTGTATTCCAAATGTCTCCAGCCACTTAAAGTGCACCCATGGCTCGGGCAATCAAGTGCTCTGTCGTGGTCTCCCCGGAGGCGCTGCCATGGGCTTCTTCGGACGTAGGGTAGTAAAAGGCCGCAACAGCAATTGCTACATAGACCACCACGCACAGGAATCCTTCCAAGTAGTTGCTCTTCTGATCGCGGAGGAAGTTGCCAATCGTAAGGATTGCCAAGATAAGCATGGTAATGTCAAAAATCTCAAAGTTCAAGTCCATTTCGGTGTGGTTGAGGCCCCAGCCGACAATGATGACCAGGGGAGTGTTGAGAAGTGCAGTCTGTAGCGTGGCGCCGATGCAGTGGATAAGAGCAAAGTTCATCTGGTTGTCCCAAGCCTCGTCGATGGCAGTGAGATGCTCGGCTGCCTTTTCAACCAGCGGTACCAGGATCAGGCCCATGAAGGGATCCGTGAGGCCGTGTTCCTCAATGATGAATGGGATTTCCGTGGTCAAAATGTATGCAATGATGGTGACCAATGCCACGGAGACGGTCAAGGCGACGATGCATTCGGTCAGCGTAAGCTTGTCTTTTCTCATATCCTTCTCTTTATCGTGGTCTCGCTCCTCGTCGTACTCGAGCATGGCGGTGAACAATCCATGGTGCGTGGCGGTCTGGAACCAGATAAAAACAATATAAGACAAGAGTAGTAGGATGGCGACGGCACGTGAGATACCGGTCACATTCGAGTCAATGAGGGTTTGGGTAATTGTTCCCTCCTCGAGAGCGGTGCTGAGTGAATGCTCATAGATGGCCGGGATTGCCAAGCCAACGCCTCTGTAAAGATAGTCAGTATCAAGTCAGGAATCCAGGGGGCTTGGGGTTGCACGTACGCAGTCAACAATAAGCCACTTCCAGCTTCGCTAATTGTCTCGTCAAAGACAGCGTCGGCTCGTCGTACACCAGAGGCAATGAAGCAACAACCCAGGCAGAGGAGCAGATTTGCAAGAATGGAACCGAGGATTGCACCCTTGATCAAAATATACTGTCCCTTGGTGAGTAGCATCATGAACAAAACGATCTCGACAATGGAAGCGATTCTGCAAGAATGCAATTAGTCAATGCAGGTAGCATATCGGCATGTAGAACAACATACGTGGTCTCGACCAAGACACCTAAAACATGGGGCATCTTCCTTGCGAGCTCTTGCCCAGCGAAACCAATGAGATTGGCACAGGGAACCATGGCAATATAGGACAGAACAAAGCCCAGAGTGTGTCGTTCTGGGAGGGCATAATGGACAGCAATGGCGGCTGGTACAATGGGCCAGAGGATGTTGACGGCTCTCGATAGCCAACTTGTCGAGCGCCATACAATTCTGAAAAAGTGCAGAGGATGAAGACCCCTTCGTCCACTTTCACCCGCCGACTTGACGCGCACCAAGCCTTTCTGAGGTCGCTTCCTAGTTCGCCTGTGATGCCCATTCTCGACGTCTCCCCGATGGTGTGGCAGAGCGGCGTCTCGTGAGTTTTGCTGAGACGATAGCCGTGGACTCTTTTCACGAAGACCACCATTATGGCGCGCGCTGGGTCTCGACGCCATTGCTGTTCGTGATGCTGTGGCCGCTGAATCGCAGTACGAATGGCTGGTTAGGTTGGTAGTTGGTGTTTACAAAAGACGCGGCTCGCTTTTCGTCTACGTAAGACACAGCAATAAGAAGAAGAAAGCAGGCCCAAGAGCAAAGGGAAAGAAGGGCCAGTGGGAAGACCACTCCAGTCGAAATACAAAGTAGGAGTAGAGGCCTGTCTTGAAGTGAGCTGTCAGGCGACGACAGGCTCAGCGAGAACGAGACACGGCCCTTAATTTTTCCCACCTTTATTTTCTTAACAACTTGAATCAGGGTCTCTCGATTGGAACCAAGTCATCTCACTCGCAGGTCGTGTGTAGTGCGTACACAACGGTCAAAACAGGGAAAGGAAGGCCGAACAACTGGGTCGTCTCCCAATTTCAGCACAAGCGGCTCGGCGCAGTCATAGACGATTTCTAAGTGGTGCAGTTGGCATTTCAACGGCTTGGCGTACGTTTCACCGTTCAGCCAGTTCAAGGTTGCAATGGCAAGATGTGGGACATTTCCAGAGTGAATCGAATTTTTTCTGGGCTGGTTAGGATCAATCAATTCACTGAGTCTGACAAGGGGGCTTCTTACTGGAAGGTACCGTGTAGTAGTATGACACTACCGCTACCAAACACGTAGACGACTAAAATAACGCCCTTCTAATGCAGCTTCGATTGGCATTTCCTGGGGTGCTACTAGGGCTAAAAACCAGGGGGGATCCCAGGCATGAATTGATTCTTGGGGAAAGAACCAGAACCAAAAAGAGAGACAAGCTCGACAAGCCCCATCACAACCCGTTCATAGCCAAGAGTATAATTGCGTCAGACTGCATTAAATCCCCTGAGATCTTGCAAACTAGGTTTTGTACCTATTCTTTCTTTGCTGCGATTCCTATCTCGATTCAAACGATTTCATTCCACGTTGGGGGGAAATAAAATCAATCCCAATTTGTGTAGTCATAGATAATGATGAATTGTCGGGGGACTGGACACGTGAAGCGAATCAATTAAAGTCTGCGACTCTCTCATGCCTCCAGTAGTCTTTTGGAAACAAAAACACATGACTTCTGTAACTCGCTGTTCGGTTCAGCGCGTTGAATTGGGCAGGCCGTTTCTGTGCAGGCAGTGCAACTGCTGCATATCTCCGACTGAAATGTTCGGCAGATCCCGCGCTCCACACCAAGCTGAGAGCCCCCCAACAGCCAAGTCCGACTATTTGATTCTAGCGAAGCACAGAAAAATGATTGGCATCTGGGCACATTGTTCCAAGCCGACTGGTTCAACTTGGCGAGAAGCTTCGAGAGCTTGTTCCAACGAAGAGGTATAATCAAAATATGTAGCAAACGAGGAGATATGACAAAGTCCTGGCGGATATGTAATCGGAAAAGAGCTCAATTTAGACATGTCGGGGGTAAATGAAAACCACCGGAGACAAGTATCGGTCAAAATGGCCTCGCACCTCGGATTTACTAGCGACAGCCAGGGGTGCCGGTGTCCTAATTCCAGAAGCCTGGACCCATTTGCACAGCGAAAGAGCACCGTTATGTCCGACTAGAAGAAAGAAAAAACCGCGCTGTGACGTAGTGGGTCCTATTTCGTGTCAGCTCATCCACGATGTCTCCATTCGCATTGCGCGCCCAAGCAGGGACCAATTCAATCCCAGGTCGAGAACACAGATTGATTGACTGTATGAGGCCTCCATCAATGCATGTAATCTGACAATACGAAAGGCACAAATAGGAGGACAAGCCAACCACACCCCGAGTTGTCGCATTGTACAAGAATAAGTACATTTTACGCGACCCATCCGCCTTTGAAGGAGCACCCAAAAATAATCTCGTGCACCAGCGTTCAACGCGGCCGCGTCTCTCAATCCCTCATGGAGGGCCTCGATGCACTTGTTGATATCGCAAAAGATTATACAATATCGCAATTTTCGCTCTTCGTCTATCAGGACAGATTTTGCTCCGTCTCCTTTCACAATTGTGGAATATGATCGCGACCTTGGTGGTGATCAAGTATGTGCATCTATTCTGGCTCCCCTGCAGATCCGGTCCAGTGCATCACCGTACAACCACGCAATCTGCCTGCTGTGTAGGCAATGCTCTGTGGAATTCGTTCAGATGCCGATGAGTCTGCACATTTGGGGTTGCGCATCATGCACCGAATGATACTTGAACTGAAAATACGGATTCGGTTTCCAAGGGATATGATGCAGGCACAAGACGCACAGTTGTGATGCAATGACGTAAGTAGCTCACAATCAGCAGATTGACGTGTCGTATTTGATGTGTGGTCACTGGTATTCAATGGAGAAATACACATGTTTCATTTGGCCTCTCTCCTTGATAGACCATTCTATTCCCACCTTCCGTCCAGTAGATCTATTGCTTGGCTACATATGAGCCTCTGGAAAGTCTCTGGCTAGCGAGCTGCCTTGGCTACCTTTTCCTAGGGCATCGTCTTTGTGTATCATCTATGCTCTGGGCTCAGTAAAAGATACTGCTTTGCCTCACATATCAGGCACCGGGGTCACCTTCTTGACAACACGAGCCGGTGATCCCATGGCGACGGAAAAGTCTGGTATATCTTTAGTCACGACCGACCCTGCACCAATAGTACATCCCTTGCCAATCGTAACACCAGGCATAATGGTGACATTGCCGCCGATCCAGCAATCGTCGCCTATGGATACGGGCTTTGCATACTCGATACCATCTCTGCGCGACTGGACCTCGGTCTCGTGTGTTGCTGCAAAGATGGAAACAAACGGGCCAAACAGGACTCTGTTGCCAATTGTGACAAGACCACAGTCCAGGATCACCAAGCTTTAAAGCTGGTTAGTGTCATCATACCAGAGATATAAAATCCGACAGCATGATGCCGCCTCGTAATAACTTGTCGACTTACTTAAAGTTGGAGTAGAAATTATCGCCTAGCACAATATTGCAGCCGTAGTCGATATTAATAGGCGGCTCGATGTAAGCTCCTTTGCCGACGCCGCCCAAAGTGCTCTTGAGCAGGTCGTATCTGAACGCCTCTAGAGACTCTGGCGTTGCGTCATCCGGAAAGTGATTGTTATACTTGTGCATGAAGCGACGAGCTTTGAACCGGCCCTGTACCAATTCTGGAGCCAGGCAGTTGTACCTAGAGGCTTGTGAGTATGCTGGACCGCCGTGGTGTTGGTTGAGGACTCACAAAACCCCAGATATCATCTTTTCATAGTCATCACACCACGGCGTATTCTCAAGCTTCTTCGCCGCCTCAATGGCTTGGGGATCTTTCTCCTTGCTGGCCATTTTCTCTAGGTGAAGTTTAACGTCGATGAGTAAATTCGTAAATCCAAGGAGTGATTTCGCTCTTATAGGTTTCGCAGATAACTTTGGTTGACCACGACTTTAGGAGTGTTGTCCCCGTTCTTGAGCGAATTGAGCCGGGCGCTTAGCGCGGCAGTGTATATCAGCGCAATTGACGCCCTGATTCGCTGCTACGTGCACCATTACTTAACAGTTTCAACAGTTGGTGTTCCGAGTGGCTAAATCTCGGCGAGGCACGCCTTAGCTAGTGGCCTCTTGTGCCTGAGCTTTCCTGCTTATAGGCTCCTTGGCGATCCACTGAATGAATACAATGCCGTGTTCCGAAGCTCGTAGCTAGGTCGTAATAATATAGTATATCTCTTGGAAATCCCACATCTACCCATAAATTATACTTATTATACCTTGGTCTTCTTCTTTTTGCGATACCCTCCTACAGGGTACAAGACCAGCAGGCCGTGTGGTTTGTACTGTGGTTCTCTGGAATCAGCGGAATCAGTCGCGGGAGGCAGTCGCAACTCCTCGCGATCGACTGCAAGTAGATCGTAGCTGCACGATTATCATCGGGCCACTTATGTATGTTTGTATGAGGTGACTACGTGATTACTGATGGCCGTTCGACAGCCCAGATGAGACTTACTGAGTGATTATGCAAACCAACCGAGACTTTGTCCCGGTCATAATCTTAAGGCTGCAATTGCCTGCGTTGCCATGACAGTCAGTCTGTCTTTGCGACAACTTTAATAGACCTGGGAAGCATCGTTTGGTAGATTGCATGTAGGCATGTAGTAGCGAACAGTACCGGTCAACTGTACATTATGCATGTTTCTATCACAATGAAATCGTCGACTCGGGGTCTTCCGCCGACAACCTTTGCGGATTAAACTCTTGGCTTTTCGTACCAGCCAAACTCCATGTAGATCTAAACTCTATCTCGCTCAAGCATTCGGCTTTTAGAAGTCAATGTATCGCTTTGGGTCTCGCAGACATCCCGTTGCCCAAGAAACGTACAGACAATCGCCGGTTGCCAAAAGCTTTTGTGTAAAACACCCTCACGATCACTACCCCGGAGAAGGACCTACCAAGTCTAATTCGCATGGCCAGAAAGGCTTTTGTGTGTTGGTGCACAAAGTCTTTTGGCAAGTTGTGACCAACACCTGGCCGGAATGAAGCACCTAAGCAGGTACGCATCAGAAAGCTTCGGACATGCCATGGACAGTGCAGTTCAGCGTTCAGTCGCGCGAACTACCTTTATGGTCTCGGTCTGTCAACAATTGAAACTACTCCTTCTCAGCTTATAATGTCTTCTTGACCCCAACTACCACTCGGGGCTCACTAGCATGATTTTTGCTGACTTCAATCTTTCCCATATTATCTTTGCCGAAACAATTTCTTCTGTCCTGTAGCCATCATTCTTCAAGTGGCTTGGCTGGCGATCTGAGCTCCCGCAGAGATGGCTGGATCTCTGGTGTTGCGACTGCTGTTCGTCCTGCTTCCGCTGGCTGGTTTTTCCTCAGCGGCTACAAACGCTGTCTTGCATCCTCAACTTGTCGCCCGGGTCGCTCCAGTGCCGAGTCTGCCAATGCCACAGACCATCAGTTCGACGCCTGGCTCCATCATTAACACGTGTACCAAGCCCGGAGTGGTGGCGCTTGCATACGACGACGGACCCGGTATATACACCGATCAACTGCTGGATATTCTCCGCCAGAACAGCATCCAGGTGACATTCTTTGTCAATGGCAACAATAACGATGGTCCCATTACCCAAGGTACCCTGCCAAAAACGCTCAAAAATGCGCTCCTACAAGGGCATCAAATCGGCAGTCATACCTGGTCCCACGCCGACCTAAACTCCCTGTCCAGAGAAGAGAGATGGCAGGAAATGGAATCATTGCAAGAAGCCTTGGCCAATGTCACCGGATTCGCGCCGACATACATGAGGCCACCGTACTTTTCCTGTACAGATGATTGCGTTCAGGACATGACTGATTTTGGCTTCCACGTCGTATGTCTCCCCCAATAACACAGCTCTGCATAACTATTTGCTGATTCTTCCATGCATAGGTGACTGCGAATCTCGATACCAAGGATTTTCTGGGGGATTATGAGGCGGCACGCAACACCTACAGTAATGCATTGGGTTCGGCCGACCCGACGACGTCGAGCTTCATAGTACTTGTGCATGACATTCATGAGAACACGGTCAACCCATTCACCCAGTACATGATTGACGTGGCCCTCAGGTACGGCTACAAGTTTGTGACTGTAGGAGAATGTCTAGGCGACCCCGAGATCAACTGGTATCACCATACTGTCAGAACCGAGAAAATTAGCGGAAATACCACCGTCAATGGAACCCGTGGTAGCACATTGAACGTTGCTCACCACCCATGGGGCTGGCATCAGCAGCCAGACTGTTCAGGCGCGACTACTTTCTCTCCAGTCTATGGTTTTCCGATCTTGTGCGTGGGCTACTCAATGCTTTGGGCTTTGGGAGGAGTATAAGAGTTGGAAGAAACAATGCTGAAGAAAGGATAGGATACCAAAAAGAGCATTGGGACATGATTTGCATCACTTGATGATCCAAGGACAACGATGGTTGTAGGATGATTATCGGCATGAGGTATAGATAGCATGGTAATGATAAGATACTGAATTGACACGACCTTTGACGACTACAAACCTCTTGCTTACAAACTGATGTGGCGATCAGCTCGAGGCTTCGCTAAGACTGAGAGGGAGAGTTTGTAGAAGAGCGAAAATTATCATGCCAAATTTCCAGTGCTAGTCAATTGCTTAGATGTTAGCTGTAGTATTTTCTTCGTGATTGGATTTCTCGGCCAATGAGTCAACGGCCAACGAATAATTGGGGAACATGCATGCTCATGTCAGCAAAATGCAACAATACAACACTGGCAACTCAATATATTTGCTTACATTATCGAAGAAAAAGAAATGCTCGTATGTTTTCTTGACTGCTGAACAACGGCATTGAGTGCTTCGATACGCAGTACCACGGGTCCACGACAATACTAGGTTGCGCTAGCATTTTACAGTCTGACGTCGACACCCTTTGACCGGCCCCACCGCGGGGTGTGTCGATGCCTCCAAATCTTGAAGCTTCAATCTTTGCCCAGCTTTCCTCCTCAGATTTGATGCGCCCGCCCGGCTGCGAGTAAATGCGCCCAATTCTCTCCCACACAAAGAGCAGCAATCGATATGAGATCACGGGGCCTAAAATCAAGCGCTGCCAGCGGCAAAGCGTTTGCCAGCTCCGGCTCAGGTGCTTTCGGTGCTTTCTCGTCGGCTTCCAGCGGCAGCAAGTTGTCCTACCTGACCGAGCCTCCCGACTATAGCACCATCTCGGATGCCAACGTGGCCGTCTCGTTCAAAAACCTTCTCAAGAAAGATGCGACGACGAAATCAAAAGCTCTAGAAGACCTCCTGGCCCATGTCGAGGCCCATCCGTACGAGAAGGATGGCGGGGTCGAGGAGGCAGTACTTGAGGTTTGGGTACGTCTGACAGTAGCGCCCTCGCTGTGAATCTCTTGAACGGCGAATACTCATATAGGACCCAGGTGCAACTATACCCTCGAATCTCGATAGACAACTCACGGCGCGTACGCGAACTCTCTCATACCTTGCAGCTTGAGTTGATGAAGTCGGCGAGGAAACGCATGGAACGACACATTCCCAAGATTGTCGCGACTTGGCTTGCTGGTACCTTTGATCGAGACCGCGCCGTCTCTCGAATAGCGTCCGAGGGCCTCTCGTCTTTCCTCACCACGCCGGAAAAGACAATCCAGTTCTGGAAAAGATGTCAACCCCAGATTCTCGAGTATGCCTCGGACGCAATTCTTGAAACCGCAGACACCCTTAGCGACGAGCGATCGACCAGTGCCGACGATGCCGAGGCCAAATACTACAGGGTGTTGGGTAGCAGTCTGGGGCTTGTGCTCAACTTGCTCGAAAAGATGAGCCCTACAGACATGGAAAAGTTCCAGGATAGCTACGACCAATTTCTCGAGGTTGAAAAAGTTTGGACAAGTGCTCTTGTCGGCGACGTTGTTGTGAGAAGACTTGCCTCACAAATGGTGGCGATTTGTATCGAAAAGCGCCCTGATGTTGTGGGAGACAAGTTGGCCCTTTTAAGCAAGGTCTATATCTCCGAGGGACTGAAGAGCAGCCAGACTGGCTCCGCCACCGAGTTTGTAAAAACCATCACCATCTTGACAAACAAGTTCCCTACGATATGGACTTCAGACTACCGCGGGAAGAACCCGACAAGCCGCTTGAAGACCTTTGTCGAGAAGGGATCACAGGGTAGCACTGTGGCATTTTGGGATGCGCTCAGCCAATTATTGAGTTGCTTGCCTGTAGAAATTCTCCCGTCATCCGACAAGGCGGCGGCCGTTGCATTCATGAAATCTCTTAGATCTGGTATCACAAGTCGAGAGGAACCGAAAAGCCATACAGTCAATGCCTGGACCTGTTATATCGGCTTGGGGAGATTGTTTGTTGAGAGGTTGACAGAGGGTTCTGCAGCATTTGCCGAAGAGACTGTCTTCCCATTGATCGAACAATATCTCTTCACGGAACTCCCAGAATGGTCCGTAGAAAGTCCAATTCCCGTGCTCAAGGCTTACACGGCCTCTGCCGCGTCCCCTAGTCAGGACGTCAGAGAAGCTGCTAGACAACAATGGAGCAGATCAAAGGAGCAGTTCTTGTCTAGAATCCGAGACTCCCTACCCGAAGCCTCGAAAGACTTTCAAAAGTCGCAAAAAGCTATCGCCGAGGAGGGCGGCCGATGGTTCGATCTGACGGGCAAGATCCTGGATGCGCATGCAAAGACGATAGGCACCGATCGTCCTATTCCAGCAGATGCCGTGAAGAAGCCATCGATAGACTTGGTTCTGGACGCATTTCAAATTTTGCAGAAGCGTAACTACAAGCCATTTGGTGCAGCAGCAGCAATTGCAGCTGCGTTTGAGAATAGTCAACCACTTTTCCAGGCCAATACTGACTCTGAAGCGGCTGACAAGGTATTACAAGAGCTCCAGGGGGCGCTTTCCGACGATCTAGCAGCCATATTAAACTCATCGAGCATGCTCTACATATTATCGTGTGTCACGTCGCTGAGCAACATACCCGACAGAACACAAGACTTCGAGAACTTGTGGCAGGTCAGTGTTGAAGGGCTGGCCGCTTTAATCAACGACAGCAGCTCTGGACTTCCTGTAGAAGGAGTACAGGCATTGACGAAATTGATTTCGACCACGGATTCGGCAGCGTTAGCTCGAAAGACTGAAACGCTGCAGTCCGTACTTGTACGCATTTGTCTTGAATGTGCCAAGGGAACGCAATTGACCGAGTCATGGGACGCTTTTGATGCTGCGTTGACATTTAATGTCTTTGACGATATCCATGGACACGACCTAGCCAAAGAAATAACTGCGATACTCGCAAAACAACCAACTGCTGAAGCAATAAAATCCTTGCTCTTAGTGGCCCAGAAGAAGCCTGAGCTTCTCTCTGGAGCCGAGACTCATATGAGTCTCATGACGAGTCTCTTGAGCCTGTCAGAAAAGTCCGACTCACCAGACATTGCAATGTTGAGGTCATTGTTAAGCCAGCCAACATCTGGTACATCTTCCAATGTTGCCGGAATTATTGAACAGAATCTGAGCAATGCCACTTTGGAATGTCTGGGCATTGACACACTCGTCCAACAAGCTCAGCAACTGCGCAAGACGAAAGATGGTGCTGCGGTCGTTCTGCCGGACACTAATATCTGGGAGAATGAACTTTTGGTGATTATGGACAAGGAGCACTTGGATTACTCTTTGTCCATGACTAGTAATGTTGGTGGCTCGTACTTTTTGGTTGGCCCAGCAGGCCAGAGTACTTCATCTAAAACTCGACGAGACCGCGCCGGTTGCTCCATCCCAGGCCGGATGGCGCAGTATGTTTCTCGTCTTGTTTCGCTCGGCCTCACTACAGAGCTGCCGTTGGACAAGCAAGCACAACTGCTCATCCTTACCAGCATTACTGCTGAGCTTGCCGCTGACCAATTGACTACAATGAAGGAGGGAATTGTATGGGATACAGCTGCGAATGGTGCATCCAGCGCTGAGCATCTCATCTCATCTTCAAGGGCTATGCTCAATTCTCTGACGGATGAGGCGTCAGAATGGCGAAGTGACTCATCGTCCGCGTCCTTACCTGACCAATTGGTGCATGAGGTATTCAACAGACTGCTTGAAACTTCCAAGCAGCCCACTGTATTTGGGCTGTATAGCTCCAAGGTTTTGACAAACTTGCTTGAAAGCCTTGCAGAGAAACATGGCTTCCCTACGAGTGCCGAAGACTGGCTCGTCAAGCTGGATGTCCTCAAGTCCACGCCGACTACCATTCTTCCTGCAGTATCGCTATTGAGAGGTCTCGGGCCCACTCTGGCTCCTACAAGGGCAATAAGCAATCTTTGCAATCGTCTCGTCAGCGACGCTGCTGGCGCGACACTCAATGTGGACAAGTCCTTGTCCACGCTGGTTCTTTTGAACGCGTGTATGCAGATTTACGACGTGGGTGATTTACCAGTCGCCAATAACCGTCTCGTGTTTGCGGTCAGGCAGATAACTTCTTGGTTGGAACAGCCATCAGAAGTGGAGTCTAGATTTGCTGCAGAGATTTGTAAAAGTTTACAGTATCTCTTGCCTTGTATCAAAGACGTATATGGATCGTATTGGGAGCGTGCGATTGGATTCTGCATCTACATTTGGACGAGAAACACTTCTTCTGAAGAGCTCAGTAGTTGGCTGCCATCGATCCATGCCTCCATTCGGCTACTCAAGACGCTCGAAGCCATTGAAGAACCCAACGATGATCTTACCGAGGCCTTGGAATCGACCATGAAGGAGCGATCCTTGGCGTTTATTGAGTTGCTTAGGCTGCCACACACGAAGGAAACGCAGCCCTTGGATATGGTGGACTCCATCGTCTGCCGACAGGTGGAGAAGCTGCCTCTGGAGTATATTCAAGATCCTGCCGACCTGTATGATCTTGTGGCTTCCGACTCCCGCGCCATACAAACCGCAGCTTTCACGGTACTGCATAAAGCTCTCCCTGCGGCACAGGAGCAATTGTCAATTGACGTGCTTCTTGAAAAGAAAGCAGCGCAGCTTCCCGATGAGCTTCTTTCTCTTCTCCTCGAAGCACCAACCCTCGAGGCGTATTCGGACGAAGAATTATCGCGATTTCCAAACCCTATTAGATCGTATTTGCTCACATGGCATCTCGTCTTTGATGCTTTCAATGCGGCATCCTTCAAAGTCCGTGGGGACTATGCCGATAATCTAAAAACGAATAATTATATTGGCCCCCTGATGAATTTCACATTCGACATCCTTGGTCATTCGGCAGCGCATGGGCTGAATCTAGAGAAAGCCGGCTTTACGGACGATGATATACGAAACTACGATATCAAACTTGCCGAAGCCGAAACGGACGAGAGGAACATGCAGTGGCTCCTCGTGCATCTCTATTACTTGGTACTCAAGTTTGTACCTGGCCTTTTCAAGACGTGGCACGTTGACTGTCGCTCCAAACAGACCAAGATTGCTGTTGAGGACTGGATGGTAAAGTACTTTTCGCCAATCATTGTGACTGAGGCTCTCGACGATGTTGCCAAGTGGGCAGAAACGCAAGAGGCACCGGAAGAGGACGAGAAGGAGTTGGTCGTCAAGATTAGCAGGGCGGCCAAGGAAGTGACTGCAGGCTACGAGGTCGACGAATCTCAGGCCACCATTGCAATCAAGATACCGCATGCTTACCCGCTCGAGCCCGTTTTGGTGGTCGGAGTGAACCGTGTTGCCGTGAGCGAGAAGAAGTGGCAAGGTTGGATTCTCTCGACGAAGGGTGTCATTACTTTCTCGGTAAGTTATACGCTGTTATTTCTCCTGGCTCAAAATTCATGCTAATATGAACACAGGGCGGAAGTCTCATTGACGGTCTGACGGCCTTTAAGCGCAACATTACCGGTGCTCTCAAGGGCCAAACAGAGTGTGCCATTTGCTACAGCATTATCAGCAGCGACAAGACGATGCCGGACAAGCGATGCGGCACTTGCAAGAATCTCTTCCATCGGTCTTGTTTGTACAAGTGGTTCCAGAGCAGCAACCAGAATACTTGTCCGTTGTGCCGAAATCCGATTGATTATCTGGGCGCGGATACAAAATCCAGGAGGCGAGGATAAGGGGGTTGCTGATAGATGTGTATTCGTATCTGGGACTTGATTTGAATTAGACAAATGTAGAAAAATGTGCATTTTCAAACACCACAAATGCATTACTTTTTCACTTTTGATATGTCTACTCTGTGCTTTTTTTATGGGCATTTGGTTCGCCGTTATGGTACAGCTCTGAGCACTAAGCACTACGTATTCGAGTGAATTGGGATGAATCGAGATGCGGCCATGCGTATATATTTAATTAGGTACATGACTAAGAAGGTGAATGTGCGGTTTGACGACGGCAACTTTACAATTTGTACCTACACAAGTCAGGGCCAACGTACAAACACCAAGATGAGGTGCCAAGTACATTTACCTCGTCCAAGAGCTACACGACCTCCAGGTTTTTACCTTATCTCTAGTTCCCACATCCCCTCATCCACTACCCCGCAAACTCCCGAGATTGATGCCCCCGGGGGCGCCGGAATCTCCACTGAAACCAGTATCGAACCAGGGAGGGTCCTTGTCAGTATCTGAATCCTGCCTGTTGGCGCCCTCATCCGTCCATGAACAACCAGTCACATGTCCAGCTTCTTCTCGTCACCAAGGAGCTCGGCAGAGCCAAGCAGCCTGAGCTCCACTAACCCCCCCGCGAAATCGTAGATGAGTGGTGCCATTTTAGCACATCTTGTAACTGTTGTACTTTTTTTCTGGAGAGGTCGATACCCCCAGCTACCATATTGGAGCTGTGGGTGTTGATACGCGAGTCCGTACATTTCTACCTCCTACCTTGGCGACCTGCCTTGGTGTACCTATCTGCCTGCCCTGCTATTGCAATGCCCTTTGTCCTTCCTTTGCTGCGGGGAGAAGAGAGAGCGCGAGATACGTAGATTGAGCAACTTCATTCCGTCTTACCAGACAATATCCAACACATTCCATTTCCCGCAGTTTACTTGATCTCTATCTTCTTCAGCTAGATTGTTGAGCTCGGCTTGAAAACTTGTGGTCGCGGCCGCAGTCCCTCCAATATACTTGTCATTCAATACGTCCACGCAGCATCTTCCCGCCACATCCTACCGTTGACTGCCCGACTCCTCGTCCGCAATCACTTGCTGGCTCGAGGGGTCTGTTTGACCCAGAAACCAGTTAATGTGACGCTTTCTTCAATGACCTGAAACCGCTCATGTCAAGATGTTGACCAACATCGCCGCCCATTCGACCCCGCGTTCCGGTATGCTTCAAGCTCGCGCATCCGGCGGCAGAATCCTACGGCCTGCCACGACGACACTACAACTACAATCGCCGCATCATGGCCAGCAGACTCGCGCCTTTCGCTTCGGCATATGGTCATCTTACCTTGACCCCGAGGTCCAGAAAGACATTCGTCGTCGTCAACGAAAGCTCAAGCACAAGTACGCCGAGTCGCTGGGCCGGAAGCTAAAGTGGGACCAGGACCACTTGGCCGAAGATCCTCGAGCTATACTCCGCCGCGTCGTGCACCGATACATGTACCCGTTTGATATTCACGGCAAGAGTACCCGCTTTGCTCACGTCGATGGGAGCTATGCATGGTCGGGCAGAACAAGTGGAAGTGCCAAGAGAGAGAACCATGGCCGTGTCTTTAGTTCATCGCCAAATTCCGCATTCGGGGGCGACTTTGGATCGTGGAAGACGGAGCTGGACGACATGGTCAACTCATGGACAAAGCAAAAGTCTGGAGCCACAAGCCGAGCCAAGTCTTCTTCCAAAACCAGTACAAACGCCTCCACCGTCAACACAAGTCAGGCTGAAGAAGAGTATGTGATTGACCCCATTACCAATCGCAAGGTCTTGAAGAAGAGCTATGGCTCGATGGATTACACTCCAGCTTCTTCACCTGGGACATTCAAAGCCTATCGGTCTCAATTCACTGCGTTCGCACCTCCTGGACTCGGTGACCAGCCGCAACGAGAGCCTGTGCACTCTAACGGCCCGCCTCCACTTGGGGAGCTCAACAAGTACAATGACGTGGAGATTGAACCTGAATCTGCCGCACAGAACAGTGCCGTCTACAGTGAGGAATATTCATTGAACCATCTTCCCCCAGAGGAGGCTGCAGAAATCCTGGAAGACGTGGAAAAGTATGGCAAATCCGAATATGACCAAGTCGAATCTATTTCGGAATCACAAGCACAAAAGTACGACGATCTTCACAAGTACAACCCGGCCCAGTATGATGCCATACAGGAGAAGAGCGGCGAACCTATTGACAAGTACAAAGACCTCCATGAGTACAAGCCCTATAGGTACAATGAATCAGCATCCCTTGACGCGGCGCCAAATCCAGAGTATGATGACTTACATAAATACAGGCCATATATGCACGAGGAAAACGCTGCCAAGGCCGAAGCTCAACCCAAGTATGATGATCTCGACAAGTACGAGAAATTTGAAACCAGCGAGGAAGTCAGAGCCGATGAATCTGCTCCAAAGTATGAGGATTTGGACAAGTACGAAGCTTCAGAGTTCCTTGACCAGGTGAAACCCGAGGAATCTGCGGCCGCATACAAGGATCTGGACAAGTACAAACAACCCTTTGTATCTGTCGACGATGAAGTCGTTGCCCTTAAAAGTGATCGATACAATGACTTGCACGAATATCAACCCACCAATTTTGATGACCATGTATTTGACAAGAAGGATCAGCCATTTGAAAAATATGGCGACTTGAGCGCCTACAAAGCATATAGGCTCCAAGACCCTGACTCCAAGGCAAGCCTTGAGCAAGATATTGTCCAAGCATGCCTCGAGGAGTTTGACAACAAAGCTGAATCGAGGGAGACTCTCGAAAAGTCCTTGTCTGATCACATTGTGGCATCCGACGCAGCCGATCTGGAAGCGATGGCCCATGTGCATCAATCGCGCGAAAGATCCAAGACTGCGAGTGCGCCAGGTTTTACAGGAAATTTTGTTCGCGATTTTCCTGAAGACTTTTCGAATAAATGGAATGAAACGTCCAGTGGACTTCAGCGCGAGGTCAGCACTACTAAAGGGCTTGATTCCGATTACGAAAAACAAGTCCAAGCCAGCATACAAAATGCAGAGAGAAACTACTCCGAGGCACTTTCTCAGACGACCAACGCGTCTGTTTTAGAGACGGCTCTGGATCGCCAATCCAAGTCTCGGGCTCAGCCGGCCGCAGAGCGCAACAAGAGTTCGATGAGCCGCCGACAGAGACCCAAGTCAGATGCTGATCCATATTCCAGACAACCACAAGGCTTAGAAACAAGCTTCAGAGAAGAATGCGGTTACGAGTCGGCGGGGACACCCTTTGTAAGGATGTACGGCAGCTCGCCAAAGGTCAAGACGCAAAAAGAAATTCTAGCATACGATCCCACTATGCAAAATGTCAGCATTGCCGAGACAACCTCGATTGTACCCGATCAGGCGACACCTCTCACCCCAGCCGATGTCCTCCTTCGTCTCTCCAACCCAACAAAGTTTTTCCCACACTTTGCGCCACTTCAAGCCCAAGGCTTTGAAATCGTTTCTGGAAGTGGAGATGTCCTTGTTTTTCGCAAGACGAGGGACATTGCAACAGCACATGAGAGCAATCCTCACCCCGTCAATCCGATTGATATGATGGGCAAGCCGACGGTGCATCCGAGTGCTGCCGCGTTTGCTTCTCCTACTGGATTCATCAATTATGATGCTCCCACGACTGAGGAACAATCACCTGCTTTCCGATCAAATATTGACGTACGCCGGGAAGAACCAGTCTTTAGCGGACCAAAGGCAACGGCGCCGGGGAGCAAGCAAATCCGAAAGAAGCGAAGCATCACCAAGAGAGTCTTGATTGGCGGTGTCTGGATTGCTGGCTTGTCCTATGCGCTTGGGGTCATTGGCGAATATTTTGTGACTGGTGGAATTGACGGCAAGGGTCCTACAGGTTTCTGATTCAAGACTCTTGGGTCTGGAGAATCACGGGATGCTCACCCTTCTCTGCCAATCAGGCTGTATAGTATGCTTGGGAATCACGGCGTTGGCAACGGTCAGGTTTTGCAACTGGGAACACTATACCACTCTTATGGCAAATTCGCGTCGATATTTGGTTTTTCCTTGTTGTTTTGGGTTGACATTATACTATGTAAGAAGTTGCTTTCGAGTGGCATTGCCGGTCACATGTCTCTGCTCTCGCTAGTATTTTGGATTGAATACAATTTCCTTCACAAGCCTTTTAAGTGCTCGGGCCATAAGTGCTGTTGTTCTTGTTGATGTCGTGAGTGGCGACTGATAATCTCAATGGCCTGCTAGCGAGGTATGGGATAAATGTATGAGTAGATGTTAAGAGGGGCAAGACGACAACATTGGCAATGTGGCTGAACTCTTGGCTGACTACGAGTCTCAGTCATGTGCGAGAACCGCGGATAGGTTGACAGAATCTGGCAAGCCAGGGCCAAGAGTGGACTTGCAAGCGACAGCAATACTGCTTGTCTTTCAGCTCCAAAGTCCACACCCTTTGCACCCTTGTAGTCACTGATTACAAGTGGTGTGCAGATTATTGTACAGCTACGGTGTCGCTAAGAGGCTGTGCTTGCCGTCTTCAACGCACGTGAGGGGTTGTAGCCTGGGTTGCATGGAAGCAGGGCAACTACTTTCTGTTCGCCTCAGCTCCTGGATCCTTTGCTGGCCATTTCAACTAAATCGCTTTGATTTATTCTTATTTTCATATTGCATTTAACCTCTTGCATCGCGTGCCGGGTTATAGCCTTATGTCAATGTGATAGAATTTCCCAGTATTCTTTTTCTCTGTTTTTTTCTTTCTTTCCTGCGCAAAATGGCGGAAATGCAGATCATCGATGGACAACCTTTGTCTCACACGTCTTTGCAGCTTGACAGTTCTGAACCGCCGTGGCTTATAAGTCGCACTTTATTCGCAGCCGGGAGCGCTGTCACGAAAGATATAGCAAGCAGTGTCAGCGATGACTCGTTGATCAGCAACGGCATTGCCCAGCAAAACTTGGATGTCATGGTGCTGAAAAATATCTTCGATACACCCTTTTCATGGGACAATGATGAAGAAGAATTAGTACGCCGTGTCTCATTCGAAACACCAGAGACATATTGTCCCGTTTACCTTTCTGCACGTGTAAACCATGACAGAATTTTATCGAGAGCCACCGAGTTGTGGCAAATGGACGAGGGCGAGATTTCCGAGCCGGCATCTCTACCAGAGGGCATGCGCTTCATCGATTGCTACAGCGACTCGACAGAAGGAATCGCCGTCGAGACCTCGCAGGTGCGGTACGCAGCGTTGAGTTATGTTTGGGGCCGCCCCCCTCAAGAAGACCAAGAGAGCGTCAGCGCGACCAAGATGCCTCACGCCACCATTCCAGCTACCATTCGAGATGCCATGACTGTGGTGCGAAAACTTGGCATACGGTATCTTTGGGTTGACAAGTACTGCATCGAAGAAAGCAGTAAACATGTAATGATTAGTCAAATGGGCAAGATCTACAAGTCGGCACTGATCACCATTGTTGCTGCAGCCGGAGAGAACCCAAATCACGGCCTTCCCGGGGTGACGTTCATGTATCATCTGAAGTATCACCAGGCGAAAAAAGAAATCAAAATACAAAACGTATGGACCGAAATCGCATCCTCCAAGTGGTCCACTCGTGCATGGACATTTCAAGAAGGCGCACTTTCACCAGTCAACCTCTTTTTCACACCGACTCAATGGGTACTCGAGTCCGAATCGGCGATAGCCTCGGACACCCAGGGCAGCACCCAGATCGGCTCGAAACACTCGGATCAAGGCGTGCACTACATTTTCCAAGCCACTAACGAGTATGCCTCACGAGACCTGACCTATCCTTGCGACTCTCTGAGCGCGTTCCTGGGCGTACTGGAAAACTGGCAATCTGCGGATTACTCTCACCTATCGGGCGTCCCTCACAATACCAAGTATGGTCGGGGCGATAGTCTCAGTTTTGGCGTATTCCTGCACGGGATCCTCTGGGGATGTCACCAGATAGATCTTGTCCGGGTCCCAAACGTCCCATCTTGGACGTGGGCCGGTTGGCGAGGATTCACCAAACAAGATCGCCCGTACGGCCAGTTCGACCTAACCAATTACTACAAGATCTTACGCGCATGGAAACACAAGGACGTGCCAGATATTGACATCAAAATTTATCTGAACGACGCGCCATACAGTTTATGGGCATGGGATGGCGAAGAATTGATCGCGAAACTCAACGAAAACAATGAAAAGGGTAATCTTGTCGACACGCTTCATATTACTGGGTGGAGCGTCGTCGAACTGGCCTATAGTCAAATTTCCGAATTCGAGGTGCGGTGGGATAGCATCGCTTTCCTAGACCGGCACAAAGATCGCCACCTGGTCATGCTCATTGTATTTTGGCCGTCGCCGCCCGGGGAAAACACCTATCTTAGTTCGGGACCTCAAATTCTAGTGCTCGGGAAAGCGTCCGATACCAAGGATGCCTACCATCGGTTGGGAAGATTGCTCTGGGACACAACTGGAGGCTTGAATCCAGAACAAGTTGCCATCGAGGGGCAATACTTTAAAAGGCGCTCATTTACATTAAAATAGAAATCTTGGGTTTCATTTCATGAGATAGAAGTGTCAGGGCAATACGACGATGCTGTAATTAACAGGAGGCAGTAACTAGGGCGGCACTGGACCCAGAGCAGCAATAGCAGCAGTATTCATCGTCCTTGGCAGGTTCATGTCACTCTCGCTCGGAGTAGCAATCGTGCAGGTTTCAAGCCATTTTTTCGACTAGCCGTGAGTTCATGCGACGTGTATTCGCCGGCCCTCGAGTATGCTCTCTTCGCAACCCAAGATCAAACAAACCGCGCCGAGCCTTTTCTACTTTTCCGTAAATCCAGCACTGGCAGCAGTAGTCTGAGCACCCAACGAGCCGCCGCCACTATTGCCCTTGAGCCCCGACATTTGCAACTCGTGCTTCTGGTCCTCCTTGTGATAACTCTGCTTGCGCTCGTAGGCGGGCTTCCACGACGACGTCGACGACATGGCGCGGGCGGCGTCCTTTTCGAGCTGGGGCGACGTTGGGCCCGGGGCGCCCAGGCCCGACGAGGCGGCGGTGTCAATGGGGATGTTGGTTGGGGGTTGTTGCTTGGATGCCATCTTTTTCTTCTTTTTCTTTCTCTTTGGCTTCGAGGTGGTTTGATCAGAGGGCGGGGTTTGAGTGCAGGAAGAAGCTGTCGTCTTGTGTAGGATGGAGAATAAGGATCATGGGATTTGGAGGGAAGAGAAACAAAGAGGCAGTCAAAGCTCCAATCTCTCGAGAGTGGGGTGATTTGAATGCAGTCCACGTAGGTAGGTGAACCCCCAGTGACGTATATGTAGTCGGACAGACAGGTCGATACGTCTTGTGATTCGCCAAATAAGAGGCTGGGCAGAACTTGATGGATGATAATGGGGTAAAAGAGTAGATGTTATTAAACTCCAGCCTTTTGCTATCTTGTAACGTCTCTCAAGAGATTCCCTGTTTTCCAGGGTCCTTTTCTCCTTTCCTCCAGTAGGTAGTTTTCGCGGTCGCGGTGGCGCGGGGATAGCACCCCCAGAGACGAAAGGTGCCCAATCCCTGCCGGCCTAGCGGGCTCCATGACCTAAAGTGGTAAGAAGCTTTGGCGATGAGGGGGAGGATCCACGAAGTATAGTGTAGAATGATTAGGTTCAAGCCTGTACACTACATACATGACAAAGTATATGGTAGCACAGACATCAATATCTATGGCGTTCATGTTATCTAACCATGTCTACACACGAAAGTTCTCAACTGCTATCTGCGATCATGTCAGTGGAGTTCACATGTTCAGCTTCATTTGTACGCCAGCAGCTCTGCAACCTTTACCCTCGTTGCGATGACGAGAGGATGGCTGCAAGTGCCATTGATGGAGTTGATCCAAATAAAAAAGGCAACCGAGATCACAAGGCCATCATTTTTCTGAGCATTGACCCAAAGACTTTCGTGTCTACTTAGCCTTGTTTACTCGAAGCCGCAGCAATACCGCTAGCCGCCATGATACGATCCGTAGAAATGGGCACAGCGCCGCAACGGGGGTCTCCCAGAATTATATGTAAAATGCCCGAGTCGTTCAAGTACACGGCGCACGGCGGGATCAAGAGCCTATCTCCATGCCCAGAAGTGCTGGCCCCATTACAAGGTATCTTGTCCAAGTATACCAAGAAAAAGTTGCCCCGTGTACGCCAAGACGGCAAATCCTGACTGTCACGATTGCAGGGCAATTTTTGCTACATGTACTAAAATCTTTTCTATTTGATTCCACTGTGCAATTAAAGCAGGAAGGATAAAACTTTCCTCTATGAATAAGAGTTGTTTCATCATGACAAGCCTTGTGACAACCATATTGACTGGAATATAATCAACTACAGAAAACTATATCCCAGCTATTTTTGACGGACTTGGGAGCACGACCCAATAGAAACCGTGCTAACAAGCTCCATCGCCCGAAACGGCAAGAAGCTTGGAGGATAGTGGAGAGTATTCGTGGAGATGGGAACTAATTGCGGGGTAGCTAGACTCGATAAGACCCTTATCACTTCTCACCAGCGCTTGAAACTCGAGGGTAGATGATGAGATCATAATTGAGTTTTCCGACTTGTGATTATATTGCCTCATGCATTGAGTGATAACCATCCCAGGTTTCCCTATTGCATGACACATTCAACGTCGAATTATCCTCCAAGAGCATTCCTCCAACGAGAAGAGGTAAATCATGGTTGAATTCTTCCCGCGGCATGTGAGCATGTTCTGAAATCAGTCTCATTGGGTCTCTTATATACAGTTTGTACCATTCTCGAAGCATTTTTTGAACCATCCTCTGGGTATTCATGTTTTCCAGTCTCTCATTACTCCATCGTGGGTATAGTCTGTTACAGACATGACCACGTATGCGAGAAGACAGTCTAGAAAATGCCCCCGTACTCCAACACGACACGACTGTAGAGAATATCGACCCAAACCCTCACGGAACGCCTTTCGCTATGCACGGGCATGATACAATGACACCGCATTGAGTCGCTACTCTATGCGGCATCAATCATTAGTAAAAAGAAAAAAGGGGTATGTTTTTTGGTCCGAGAGAAAACACAAAGTGCCTTCCCCAATCAAGGTAAACCAGACGTAGTACAAAATATAGACAGACGACAATATTCACAATACAAACGTCGAAAGACTCAAGGAGTCTTGGGTCGCTTCCAAAAGTATTGCTGATAGACGGGTTAGTGTAAATTCCAACCACCAGCTGTCTACGAGGTTTTACCTTGTGTTGCTTTCTGCAAGCCCGGAGACTGGGCTTTCTCAGTCCGTCAGTGACAGCCAGACGCCGAGAGTCGTCATTGTCCTTCTCAGGAACATAGTAGTACTCGCTCTCCAGTTGCTTGCCTGCTGCATCTTTCCCGTGGCGAGCAATGGTACCAATGCACTCGGTCGACTCAATGATCCTGCGCAGATCCTTCTTCAGTAATCCCTTCTTCTCCTCAGCAGGAAGGTTGTTCAGAATGCCCGACAATGGGTTGGAGGATAGGCGCGAGTAGGCGAGCTGATTTACTACATGGTTGGTAATGGCGGCAACGTCGAGATGTTCAGGAAGCGGCCGCTCCTCTGGCACGGGTGTCGTATCAGCCGAAACGCGGGATGGTTGTGGCAAAGGGTGACGCGACGACTCGGAAGTAATGGAGGCCAGACGGCCAGACAGGTTGGCACCAAAGGGGCCGAACGAATGCACGATAGGGTCATTCTCCTCGTTGGGATAGTTTTCGTCATCTGGCTCACTAAGGTCGCTTGAAAAGCTATTACTGGTCAACTCGGTGGGGGCAAAGGAAAAGTCCAAGTCGTGATCGTCCTTGGATTCTTCATGCTCGCCTTCCTCTGGGTCCTCATAGATCTCTACTTGGTCATTGGCGTTGTCAGTGGCCAGGATTGCGTTCAAACTAGACGAGGAAGCCGCTGCTGATTTGATGCCAGGCGTGGGCGATTCTGGCGATTGGACACGCGTCTGTCGCCGAAGAGGGCTCGATGATAATAGATTCGCGTTGTGCTGAGGTCGGGAACGCGGTGACTCTTCCCAAGACGAGTCGGACAAATTGGTCAAAGATTCGTGGCGGTCCCTTTTGGGCCATTGCACCATGACGCGCGCGTCTTGCACGTCGAGCATGATTTCGGCATCTTCCGTCTCAGACGTAAAGGTGTCGCCCTTGCGAAGCTCCCAAGTTTTGCCCTGGCAGTGCAACTTGAGGCCATTCCAGCCAGTGCACTTGATCTCCACCTGGTCGCGTTCGAGGGGCTCAGTGGCCGGGATATACCGCGCCCTGACGTGGACACGCGAGATGATGCGGCTAGCTGAGAGCTGGTAATGAGACGAATTACTAGAACGGCCCATGAGCAATTCCTCGCCATTTTCGTTGAGTTCTACCGTGGGCACGGCAGAGAGTGGTGCTCTTTCTGACACGCCAGAGGGGGCGCGTGTCAGGGCCGGCCTCTGGACGCGTGGTGGAGAGGACGAGAGGATGCCCGTGCTGGAAGTCGGGACCGGGGTAGGATACTTGTGCACGGCGGAACCAAAAGCGACATCAAGAGCCTGCCTCTTGAGAGGACGTGGCAAACCGGGCGAGGAAGAGAGAGGCTCGAAGGCGGGCAAAAGTGCAGTTGCAGGTCGCTTGGCGCCGGCCGCCATGGTGGTGGTGGAGGGCAGTATAGAGGGCGGCGGGAGACTGGGCTCGCCAGCCTCGATCGTGTTCACCGACGTCTTCTCCGGAGTGGTCATGTTGGGCCGACAGAGTAGAGAAGGGATCACGTCACTGGATAGCCTCGTTTTGTGGATTTTTGCCCAAGTGCCAGTAGGGAGAAAAGAAAAAGGGAAGAAGGGGACCAAAAAAGCGCAGTGCTGCGAGAGAAAATTGGTGGCAGAGTTGAGAGGGTATCACGGTCTGCAAGGGTACACGCGATTTGCTAGTGCCGGATTCGCGCTGCCAGTGACGCGCCCAGTCAGGTCAGACCTTGAACCAACCCAGCCAAAAACCAGCCTATTCAGGTAGCGTAGCCGATCCGACGACAATTGAGCCCCTCTTCTTCTTTTTTGTCTCGAGCTTGTGTATGTGCGTTTTGTGTAAGTTTTGACTCTCGGTAGGAAGATATAGAAAAGAATACCACGGGTTTTTGAAATGGCTGAGAAAAAAAAAGATGTGGAATGGTTGCAGGTCTGTCAAGTAGGTCGGTTGGTCGGACGGGCGGCCGGTCTAGTCGGTCTGATCGTGGGAAAAAAGTGGCCTGAGACGACGGGACCAAGATGTTGAAGGAGCGATGGGTTTGGCTTTCGATGGTGGAATTATGTAAATACGTACGTGTTCGAGAATCGTGACAGAGGCAATTCTGCTATCAAGCTTCTCTCAAAGGGGGAGAAGGTTTGCTTCAATAGAAAAGAATCAAAGTGGGTAGCCTTTTCCCTCTCAAACACATGCGGATCCTTTGCTCCAACCATTCTCTTTTGCACAAGCAAAACGCGACTATAGCAGCGCGTTTCTCGCGTTGGGAGACCGGCGGGCTGAGGGGGAGCGTGTTCAGTGGGGTGGAGGAATTCTTTCAGTTGAATTAGGTGAGCCGTTAGTGGTTCAATTGGTCCTAGTAACCTCCATTAAGGTGCGTCCAGCACGCCGATTTCATCATTGCCAAGTTTGCCAGCGCTTGTACATAACGCGTCTGGTATTTCGGTGCATTCCGGAGTCTTTGTGCGCTGTGTATAATACATGCATCAAATATGTAGACTGAATTATTCGTAAGCAGCAAGCACATTACCATGGAGGTGTTTTTACACACTCAAATACTACAATCTGTGAATTCTTGAATTATTCAGAACAATAAGACTTGGTACAATTCATTGAGTGCTACAACGATACTAGAATAAACCCGCGGACAGACACTCACAGAGGTCCAATGCTTTCAGTATCATGGCAGCCGAGGTACTGGCTAAGCCCAGCCATATCATTTCATTCATACATTCCGAGCTCGAAGGAAATCGACTTGACAAAGGAGGAAAAACGACAAGTGATATATTATCATAAAACTATCATCGCTATACAAGAGCACTCGAGTACTCGTTTTGGTATCATTTGCTAAGGGAAAGGTAAAACCATGAAACAGCTTCAACGTCCCCCATTCCTGTAAAGAAAAAAAAAGCCAGCCTGCAACGACCTGCTCCAGAGTCCACACGTCCATATTTCTTCTTTGAAAAAAATCACCAGACACCCTTATCCCGAAACAGAGGAATACAAATAAGGATAGACAGATTAGATGTCGCTGCTGGTTTGATGCCGTTCATCATGTCTGATGCCAAAAGCAAACACACTAGTCGAAGAAGGAAGGTCGGCCGTAAAGCATCTCGGGTATCTCCATTATTGAATCATTTGTCTGCACTGATCGAGCGCTCGCTCCGCCATGATAATAGTTGAAAGGAAAGAAGGGAGGAAAGAATATACTGCGCCCAGTGAAAAGCTAGTGATAGAAAGACCCCTAACAGATCCTGGCGGGAATTAAGGTTGGCTCGCAATCCAATTGAGAAATCACCACGCAGCACGACTCTTGCGTCCTTCGTTTAGCATCGTAGTGTATTCACTGCGCTTCCGAATCAAAAAGGCCAATGCCAGCATAAAGTCGGTCGCGTGCTTTTCCGAAGACGTGTGCATCAGTGGCTTCAAAATGACGCCGGCAAGCCTTTCCGCGGTCATGTCGTTCTTCTCGGCCGATTCGGCAATCGATGACCACAAGTTTAGCAAAAGCTTGAATAGACTCCTGGCGGGACCGCGCAGGCCCCCGAGGGACTCTTCCCAGAAATCGATGCACTGGTCAAGACGAGTGCCGTGAGAGCCCGTCAATGTCGCTTGCTTTGACAGGGCGATCCAGCGTTTGGCAATGCTTTCCGAAATGAGAGGTTTCGGTAGTTGTGAGAGGAACAACAGAACAATGTCCGCTGCATCGTAGACGCCGTAATTGTCCCAGTTGATATCCTCGCCGTAGCTGGGCGGTTTGCTAAAAGCCTCCTTCAACTTCTTCACCCGGTACCCATCTCCGGGCTCGGCAAAAATATCGGGTGCTTCAATGCCTTCCATTTGCAAGAACACGACGCATTTGTGCATGCAAAGGGGAAATTCGCGCCTCGACGATCCGCTACCAGTGTGATGCGTCTTGGCTGTACTCTTGGCAGCCTGTATGCTCTTGGATAGAGAAACACCAAAGACGGCATTTGACCCAGGGGCCGCTGGGCCTTCCGGTTCTTCTAGCTCGGTATTCCACATGGGAAGCCGTTTGATGGATGTCGACAATCGCCGGCTGCCCCTGCGGACGAGGCTAGCTTGTGCAATGGGCGTAATGGGCCTGGTTTCAGTTGACGAGGTGGTGGAATTCGTCTCGGTTGTGCTTGGGGCCTCTGACAGAGCATTCTTTACATGTCCAAAGAGACGTCCGAATCGACCCCGAGTTTGCGGTGGGCCGTTTGACGGTTTCCGGCCTTGAGAGGTAATCTCTGTCACGACTCCGTATAGCGACTCGTCCACCATAGCCGGCTCAAACGGAGATACCATTGTGTTTCGTTGCGCCCGAAGCCTCTTCATGTCCTTGGGAGGAGGCGTTGGCGCTCGGCTTGGTACATCGGTCATTTCGTCAAATTCTGTAGTCGACAGCTCATCCTCTGGCTGGTCCCTTGAGTCGGCTACTGAGTCGTCCACACTTCCGAGTCTTGACTTGGGCGGTGCTGAGCCATCTACCCAATCGTCGTTTAGCGCATCTCGCAATTCGTCTACATCCTGGATGTATTGTAAAGCCGTCGGAGGTGTCATGACGGGAGAGTGAGCTTCAGGGGGTGGTGTATGGAAACCGTGAAGCGAGGATCCGTCGTTGACTTCGATTGCGCTGTCTGGTTCGTCGCCCACGTACATGCCCATGCCCGTCCCCTCTCCGAGAAAAGCACCATCGTCACCGTCCTTGTTGTAAATGAGTGAGTTGGCGTATATCCTCAGAGCCACCAAATGAGTTGCCAGGCTGCGGTATGGACCGGTTGACTCGAATAGTCCTGATCGCTGGCGTCGCACCTCATTCATCTCCCCCACGAGCCGGATGGCCTCGTTTCTGATCTCTGTCAACTTCTCTTCGTTTTGCGGCGAGTCCTGGTCTCCATCTGCTAGGCAGTCATGCAAGTCGCGGCCATGTGTACTATTGCCAGATGTTAGTATCTTGCACAATATACTTGTGTTGCGAGGCCGTGTGGCACCTACACTCCGACAAGATCCAAGGCCAGCCCTAGCATTGTCCGGTGCGCCTCAATGATGGGCAGGATATCCGCAATCTGTTGTTTTCCGACGGCGATCCATTGCATCCGCTTCTGTGGTCTCGACAGTGCGCTGCCGTCCAGAGCTAGCAGGTCGGCATCCAGTTCACTGACAACTCGGTTGCATTGCTGCAAAAGCGCCGGGGTCTCGGTCGCTATTCTCGTGGGCAGGGCACCGGCGTCGTCCTTTAGCAGATCCAGCACGCTTTGGAGCGAGTGCAATTCGCGAGATACCACATCGAGATCGGCTCGCGCCTCGCGAACTTCTCGTACAAACTCATTCAAAACCAGCGACGCCCTGGATATGGTGTTGCCGAGTTCGATGCAGTCTGTGGTTATCGAGCTACCGCCCATCTCGGCTTAGTGAATTTGTTTTTCCCCGGGTGGGCGCAAGATATACCCCGTAGGTAGGAAGTCTTTTGTAAGAGCGTTAGCCCAAGCTTTGTGACTTACAACGAATCCATAGTTGCAAATCCTCCGTTGTGCTCCTTGCGAAACCAACAGTACGTAACAAGTCCCAAGCAGAATGAAAAGAAAGAAGAAATAAAATCAACATGTCGGCCCCCGAAAAGGAGCGACCTGAGAGAAGGGAAGGGATTTGAAGTAAAGTGGGGAGGAGGAGAAGGAAAAGATGAGCTCACATACATTGTCAAAGAAAAAAAACCCCAGGTTGATCTGACTCGACTATGATGAAGGCATGCGCTTTCGCGCAGGTACGTCAAGCGCTTCTTGTGCGTCTCACCTCTCTTTCATTAATATGGTTTGATGATATGTTGGTCGGGAGGGGGGATAAATCCGTATTCCTGCGTCAGGATTGCTTTCTTTGGCAGGGTTTTGAACAGGATGACCGTTTTTTTCAAGGGTCATGTTGAGAGGATGCGTGCGTACTGTACATATTTATTAAGATTACAGTATGGATCTCCGCCACTGTCGACTTGCGTTTTCCTGCAGCTACCCATGGCCTTCCAGCAGCCGGGCTCCCTCGTGGTGGTGCTAAGGTACGATTTCACTAGATTTCAGGTGGGCTTAACGGGATGGTTTGGGATGGGGAGGAGTAGCTCGACTTGGATAGGCAGCCCCCGCTCCTCTTGTTCCCGATACTACACTACAATTCCCCCTTGGCCGAGGTGGTTCAAGTGCCTCTTCTGCAAGTCTGTTGCCATCCTACGGGGAGAACGAGAACCAAACAATGGCATGGGAATGTAGTACTACACCAATAGTAAGTAGGTAGGGCAACATTTTAGCTGCCAGCCAGCCAGCAGTACAAGAAACCAGGTCCCAACTCCTGAGCTGGCCCATGACAAGGTTTCTCGCCCGTTGCAACCTAGCTCTTTGCCACTAGTCGACGTTGGGAAGCACGATCATGGTCTAGGATCAGCTTTGGCTCCTGACTCGCGGGACTTGCCAGAGCTGAGAGCCTCTCAGCTGCTCTACTGTGTACATAGTACTAACCTAGGTGTTTGTTTTCACCTTGTGCGTAATCATGAACCCTATATAGGCTGGCCTTACTGCCCAAGCTTATCACTCACTACACTACATTACACTACAACCCTCCAAACGACTCGAGGTCGGGCCTTTGCGGTCGCATGTTGAGCACGTCAAGAAATGGATTGGGTTACTCATTGCCTCCTCATTCACCCACTCTGCCAATCCCATACCGACGAGGTGAATTCCCAATGGCGTATCATCCGGGCAAATTGATGGGAAAGTCACCCAGACGAATTGCTCAATGATGCGGTCAACAGCGCCGTTTCGGGTCGAGATCCACGGCATCTGTCTAGCGCGAACCCGGCCAACGTCACCGTCCCCTGTAGATCGCCAAGGTCCACGTCGGTTCTAGGGCCAAACACACAAACTGGCAGTGGGCACCACAGCAAACCTAGCCAGAGCCATCCATCCATGGATCCAGACGAAGAAGACAGAATGACAGACAACTCAAGTGACAAAGCCAGAGGGGCCACCCACGCTAGCAGTTACAGGGCATCTAAATTAGGTAGTAGCAGCTAGAGCGCTTTTGTGAGAAGCGGGCCAGACTGGTGGCGATGACTTCGATTCCTGGCAAGTTTCCCGCAAAATCCTGGTTGAATCAAACACATCTTTGTCCGAGGGGGAAGAAAAGCTTGTGCAAGGCACGGCACTCGGAGCGAAATAGCTTGCATAACATGGCAGAAGAAAGCAATCCATTGGGGTCGAATCCTACCATCCAGGTAACATTTCTACAGAGTACAACGACATCCTTGCGTTTCCAACTTGCTACAGCCTTGTTAGTTCAGAACTTCAGATGACGGCGAGCCCCCAAAAGGCGGACAAGGTGCTCCAACCACCATGGGAGGATAGCGTAGCATACGGCCGTCCTACCAACGGTCGCTTATCATCTAGCCGAGTTCAAGGGGGATACATTCGGATGATCTCGAGTGTTTTACAAACGGGCCAATCTTTTTTGAGTTGAGTTGCACTCGGCAGTAAATGGTCGAGTTCCGAGTTTTGACACCTGACCATATCTCACCAGCCTTCGCTGTAACTGTGCAATAACGCTCGGACCGTGGATGGTCGACTGAGCGGTGCCTAGCTGCCGATCTGTTAGTTTCTAAACGCCTCCTCGAGACTACTATATAGCGCTCTGACGATGGATAATGGTCAAGAATGGGCGGGTGCGCGGTTTCTGAGTGGTTGTCACAGCATTGATACTAGATGGTCCAGCAATTCATATAGTACAACCTCTCCGTTGGCTGGCCTGGTAATATAACACCAACCAAGTGCTATATATATGCGCTAGATCACACAAGATGTACACTACCATGTGCAGGAATCCGACCCCAGACGGCATTGAAGCAACACCATGTCAGCGCAAGCATTCGGCACGTTGGCAGACCCCTGTCCTTATTTGCCTGTTCTATCAATATGTTCGCTGGCGCCGTATGTATGCATGCAACCGCCAGCCCGCCTGCTCATAAGGATGCGGTCCGTTCCAATCGCGACATACTACTATGTAGTAAGGCACAGAGAAGGCACTATTGATTAATCGGTAGGTACTTTGTAAATGTGCTGGCCGCATCTCGTCAGCCATTGCCCACTCCATGTTGGTGACTGATGTAATATCACCGGCACAGCAATAATGCTTACTAGGCATTTCAAGGCCGGCCTCAATCACTGTCGTCAGACGGGTGTCACAAAAAGATGCGAGCACTCTGGACTTGTCGCCTTGCCTACCTACTCGAGGGGGGTGGTCAGAAAACACGGCAATATTGCCCTTCTCACCAAACAAATCCTCCCATCACCCCGCAATACATAGCATGTGGTTGCATCGTTCTGGGTTAATGATCGCATTTTCCATGGCACATCAACCCTCTCAGTTACAAGGACGGGCTTGGGATTGAAAGATTGTTCAAGCCTCCGAGACAATTGTGCTGCTTCCCAAACACCGGCTGGGGCTTCCGGTAGCACGCAATGACCAGAAAACGATAGTATAGCTCGTGCATGCTATATCAAAAGGAGAATATTGTATATGTACGCACTGACCCATGATCATATATCTTGTGTGTCTGTAGCGCCGACTGCACAGTATTATGCCGACCTTGCGGGGTCGAGGTGCAATAAGTCCCAGGGTAAGATGATCGTCGGACCCCCTCTTTGTGCACCAGCTATGTACTATCTCATGCATAGGCCGCCTTATTCGGTGCTGCATCGACAGCTGAGCCCTGTTGCTTTGAGCTCTGACCGAGCTACAGAGTATATAACTCGTAGATCTGAGCAGAACCCGAATACGCATGGACACTGAGTGGTAATCGTAGATAGAGTAATCATACCCAAGTATGCATGGGATGTGTGCTTTATGTATTCACCACTGATATGCTAATCGAATCAAAGGTCGTCTTGCGGAGAATTTCCGTTATAGACGCAACAATCCTAGCTCAATTCCATCTGCATCATACTAAGCTTTCTTTCCACCTGCTCGGCAAACATTGTCTGCATCCTAGAATGAATACTTTTCGGTGGTTCGTTTCGATATTTGGGCTTCTCAACGTTTCTCGCCTGCAGGCAGACTCTTATCATATCCCGGTGCCCACTGCCACAAATACTCGTTAGATCTGTTATCTCTTCTTGACCCGTTTCATTCTCGCTCAATCGCATCTCCGAACTGTTTCCGTCGCCTCCTGCGAACTTGAGCAATCGTCTGTAGATATCCCGTAGCTCGTCTCGTGTCATGGCCATAATATCTCCAATACCCAATGTGGCCTCGATCGGTTTCCAGACTGCGATTTCTGTGAAAATGACTCCAAGAGCGTAAATATCGTAAGACTTTCGATACACAGTCTTTGCCTCGCCAAACTGCGCGTGTGGATGTCGGTATATATCCGACGTCGGATCACAGGTTGGGGCTTCCGTCATGTCGACGCGATCGCTAGGCCTCGAGATGCCGAACCCTGCAATATAGGGCCGAGTCAAGTCGAACGCTCCGGTATCGTCTTCAAAGAAGACAATATTGTCACTGTTCAGACTTTTGTGCAACCAATCCACTAAATGAAAGCCAGAGAGACTCTGTGCCAGTGCAATACTCAGGGAGAGTCTTTTCGGTATGGGCGGCATGCGTTGTCTCTCCATTAATTGTCTCAGAGACATGACCTTTGGTTGACTTTTGGCATGTGATGGCAGTGAGAATACTATGCCAAAAGACACGCTGTTGTGAGCATCGACGTTCTTGATGTAACCCAGACATTGCAGCACACGAAAGCTGGCAGGGATTTCGTTGCAAAGCAGCCTGACGAGAAGAGCAATTCTCTCTTCTCGCTCAGCCACTCTTTCCTCGAACATCTCACCATTCGGAGAACTTTGAGTCCAGTCAACCCAGACACAACGGTCATGCCAGAAAGCAATGGTCCTTTGGCCGTGGAGGCTGGCAGAGGATCTTGTCGTGGAGAACTGGAATTCGGAAATATCCAGGAGCATGGTCTGAAACTCCTCCTTGATCGATGACAAGTCTTCGTCCTCCCACTGTTCCGCTTCCATCCAACCAATCTTGAGCTCTGCAAGCTTTTTTAGCTGTGACTTCTTTGCCTCGTGACTACTTTTTTGTAGCTCAGCAGCAATCTGCAGACTTTTGCTCTTGGTGGCAAACAGGTGTTCATAAGTGCCATTGTCTCCAGAGTCAATGCTCATTGCCCTTATGAAGGCTTTAACATCTCTGAGTTCCCGAAGAACCTGAAGAATATTGGTGTCCTTTGCCTGGTCATTGTGTTCCAGTCTTTTGGCTCTTGTCATATCCAACAGCGACACTAGATATGAGTTCATATCTGATAGTTTCTGGACCAAGGCCTCAATGGACTCCTTATCAATGCTTACCCAAACCAGTCGTCGTGGATTTCGAGCCACGGTCCAAAGTCTTCGGACTACAACAAGGAAGCGGCAGCGCATCTTTTCAAGGCTGTTGGATTCAACCAAGCTTGGAGTTGCTCTTGTCTCAGTTGCCGAGGTCGGTTCAAGTAGTAGTGCCTTTAACATATCATCACCCCGTCGCATGACCTCGTCTGGCACATCAGATCTGGGTTGATCCATGGTATTGCTGTACTTGTCTAAACTCTTCTTGATCTTTTTGAATGTTGCCTTAATTTCAAGAATTATCTGCACCAAAAGTTTGTGGTCAATGTGAGATACGCCATGGACGTGTTCCTTGCTGTACGCGTCTCTTATCATTGACAACACTTCGACAGCAATATCGGAGAATCGTTGTTGCTCCATTTTCATGCGCAAATGTAGATATTGACAGCTTTCAGGCATTTCGATTGCCTCAATGACATTCTTGTACACTTGAACAAATTAGCATCGTTGTGAACATGGTGCATTACAAAGGGACAAACACTTGATGCACTCATCCACGCCCTGTATGATGAATGATGCGGCACTGAGCCCCTGACCAAGTAAACTTATAGGATCGGCCATTTTGGTACGGAAATAAGCTATAACTAATTGTGAATAGCGTCCTGATTACTGAAGAAAGAAACTCCATAAGTGACTTCTGATAGTGAAAGAAAGAATGTGTGTCGTTTATACGATCATTTACTTATCCCTTCAGATTGTTATTACCAGCGTCCTCAACCTACGAGTATAAGAGGGGTAGGGTCTGGATCAGTACATATTCAAGCATACTGGATGCTGCATCTCAGATCAATAACCAGATTGGGCCGAGGAAATGGGAGTTTGTGCGACTGAAAAATGCACCTGGATGGGTGGTCATCCTGACGGTCACCTTCCCCGAATAGCCGACCACTTCTCAATAATTAACCAATAATATTGTAACACATGGAGAGATGCATGTATCGTTCGATGCTCTCGTTACAATCTTCTCAACTTCTATGGATTGATGCACATGTAAGGCGCTCATCAGGCAAAATGAAATGCCACCCTACCTTCTGGGGGCAATGAGGCTGTGGCGGCTAAGGCCGCAAATGACTACACCCGCCTTGCTTATATTCATAAGATCAAGCCGCTAAGATTGAAGAGAAGAAGGAGACCCACAGAATTAACTCTTGTCAAGGCGTTTTTTGATACATCACAAGGCATACTTTTCGTACAGACCTATACGAACACCGGAAGATACTGCACCCTGCCGTCTGCATACCTACCCGATCTCAGTACCAAGGCAGTTTTGAGCCCACTATCTGAGGTGGCTGTCCGGCTACTGAGTCTCACTGCATCTGTTGTGCGTCTTCGGAATAATAACTGTGGTGTGATGAAGTCTGGCTAACCGGCAATCTGCTTAGTGGAGCTATGGGCCAGAACAGTGATTCCTCTGAGAGGGAGTACCAGCGGATCATAAAGAAGTTTCCGTCTTTGAAGCCATACAAGGACTCCAAGCGGATGGTAGTCCTCCTGGATCAAGTGGGCGCCAAAGAGACTGAATTTAAAAAAGTCTTGAAAGATGAGGGCGTGACAGACCTTTGGATACCTCTGGAACATAAGTTCGGGAGATTTTTCCTGGAGCCTGGCTCTCTAAGCAAGTGGCGAAAGCAGCAAAGTGACTTACTATCAACGACATTTGATTTCGAGCCTTCTCCTGGGCTGAAGTCGATACCCCCACACTACAACCTGAGTTCGACGTCCTGTGGTGACTTGGGCTATCCGAGTAACCTTGATATTGGCGACACACTTGGTACTACAAAGTCAGCAGCTGTGGTTCAAGTAAGCGTTAAGGGTAAAGAGAAGGTTCCTCTGGCTCAAAAGATAATTTATCGCAAACATGAGCTTCAAGAAGAAACCAAACAAATGCGACGCATTCTAGGAGAGATACGAGCGTTGAAAAAGTTGCGACACAGACACTATGTTCAACTCATTGCTAGCTACACGACCGAACAACAGGTTGGCATCGTCATGAGCCCAGTCGCTGATTGCGACCTCCACAGTTTTCTTGAATCGTTCGAGAGCATGAAGGCTCTGAGCAGCCTGAAGGATTTCAAGGCGCTGCAGGACAAGCAGAACCAATTGGCTCGATTCTTTGGCTGCCTTGCCCAGGCCGTGGCTAATCTCCACTGCAGATACGGCATCCGCCATAGAGACATCAAGCCCAAAAACATATTGGTCCGTGGCGACCAAGTCTTGCTGGCTGACTTTGGCATTGCTCTCGACTGGTCTGACACTGGGGAAACCACGACTTACTCAAAAGAGGGCATGAAGGATCCGGCAGTAAGTATCGCAGCGTGGAGCATCTCGAAGAGGCTTTGACGCCATTTTCAACAGAAACATCCGCAAGACTCACAATGGCTAATTAATTCACTTACAGTACTGCGCACCAGAAGTATATCATGGAAAGAGAAAGGGTACCAAGTCAGATATCTGGTCATTAGGGTGCGTTTTCCTCGAGATGGCCCTTGTCTTGGAGGGTCTACCAAGAGATGATGTGAAGGAAACCCTCAACCGAGGCTTCTACTGGGAGGATATTGGCGCCATTCAAGACAGAATTAAAGAGATACAGAGATTTCGTTCCCAATGGAATCACGAGCCATTGGAATGGGTCCAGAACATGGTGCGAGAAGACAGAGATAGCCGATGGAAAGCAGCAGATGTTGTCAGAGCTGTCATCGAGTCTCCACTCCAGCGCTTTGCAGCCCATTGTTGCCACGTCTGGAGGGAACCTGAGTTGTCGGAAGATGAGGATCTTCAAGAGTACCGTGACGAAGAGGTAGGTCACCAGTACTCTCTCTCTCTCTC